TCGTCATGTAAATATCTGATATGCAGGATGGTCTTAGGCAACCCCTGTGAAAGGGTCGTTCGACCGCCAAAGGGGTCGAGACCCACAGGTTGAGAACCGCTGGTCTAAACCTTAGGAAGCAGAATAGGGAAAATTAGATAGAAAATGAGGAGTCATTTCAGTAACTCTATCCAGCATCTTTATGAGTCCGAGGTTAGGATTCGGTTTCTCGGAGATCAGGCATCTGTTTATCATCGTGCACTCCTCTCAAATCCTGGCAGCAGCCCAAGGCTGGTGTACAACATTGGACATTTGAGTCTTATACAGTCTCGGTGTGCTTACAAGGGCAGGGGCATCAAGTCATCGATCGCCCATCCCTGCACAGTCTAAAGCTGTGACCATTCCAGACAATGGGCCTCCTCCTTCCTCTCCCACTCCCCATCCCCGAAGGGTAACCCTGAATAGGAGCGTTCTCAGCTTTACCAGTTGCCATTCAACAGTATGGGGGAGTGGGGCCCTGTTCTTGCCCTGTGGCTGGCAATTTGTGGTCTCTATTTTGGTCTCTCTGACTTCCACAAAGTCACACTTTAGATCGAAGTTTATAGGAAATTACAATTTTAGATAATGATATTTTATAGGAGTAGGTGAGGATACCTGTCTTCAGATGAAGACACGATGGAACAGTTTTATATTAAGCAAAACTGCATTTGTTTTTTGAGTTTGAAGGTTTCGTCTAAAATTCTCTGATGACTTTAAAAAAAAACCAAACAGCTTTCTTGAGATACGAATCACACACCATACCATTCATCCATTTAAAGTATACAATTTTAGTGTAGTCACAGAATTCTGCACCCATCATAATTTTAGAATACTTTCATTACCCCAAAGAAACTCTGTACTCCTTAGATATCACCCCCAACTCTCCCCCGGCCCCAGGCAACTACTAATCTACTCTCTATCGCTATGGCTTTGCCTATTCTGGACATTTCATAATAATGGAATCATACGGGGGGGTAGGGGAGGCCGGGGGGGGAGGTCAATGGGGGGGAAAGGGGACATATGTATTACTATTTGTAATACCTTAAATAATAATAATAAAAAAAGGAATCACACAACATGTGGTCCTTTGTGGTTGGCTTCTTTGGCTTAGCATTTTTAAAGGTTCGTTCGTATGTAGCATGTGTAAGTACTTTATTCCTTTTTATGGCTGAATTCATTACATGGATATACTTCATTTATTTATCCCTTCACCAGTTGATGAGCATTTGGGGGTACACTTTTTGGCCATAATTAATTGACAGGGGGTGGGGTTCCAGGGTCCCAGCCTGGCACACACTGGTAACCAGTGCAGCCGTCTTCCTAGAAACTGTTGCCTTATCAAAGTCCGCTTGGTTTCTTTGTAGTTATTTCGTATCTGCCGCCTCCCTAAATGGTTTTCTGTTTCTAATAGTTTTTCAGTTGATTCCCATGATTTCCTACGGCAGATAGTCTGCATCTTTCTTACCGTTATTCTATCTCATTTTGTTTGCCTGTCGTAGTGACATTTCAGAACAATGTTAAGTGAGAGTGAATTAAAAATATAGTCCTGTGTGCCCATGCTGTGCCATGAAATGTGTTACCTGCTGTGGGCCCTGCGCGTGATTCACATTGATACATCTGTTCCTAAATAAACGGAGGTCACTGTCTGCTCCACAGGGGTAAGGATCCTCCCGTTCAATTTTGTATTTACATGTACGGTTTATGTGCATTGGCGAATTGGCACCGTTATTTCAAAGTGTATTCACATATGTATTGTGGGTCAGAGAAGTTTTAAAGTTTTTGGTGAAATACCCAGAGTTTGCTTTTAGATGCTTTTGTGATTATTTTAAAGCTGTATTTTTAGTATTTACTTCCTTTTAATAGGGTTTTTACATTATATGAAAATTTTTGATTGGTGGAAGTGATATGTAATAGTTTTCTTGTCTGTATGAACAACATTTTTATAGTGATATTGTAATCGGTGCCTTTTGTGAATGCCTCCTATGTGCCTGTACTAGGTATTTTATCTTATTAGTCTTCACAACAGGTCATTAGAGTATTATAATTTTTTAAAAAAATATTTCTATTGGTTTCAGAGAGGAAGGAAGAGGGAGAGAGAGAGAGAAACATCAATGATGAGAGAGAATCATTGATTGGCTGCCTCCTGCACACCCCCTACTGGGGAATTGAGCCCACAACCAGGGCATGTGCCAGCAAATGCCTGAAGCTGGATTTTCCCTAGTCCAGTGGTCGGAAACCCATGGCTCGAGAGCCACATGCGGCTCTTTGGCCCCTTGAGTGTGGCTCTTCCACAAAATACCACATGCGGGCATGCACGTACAGTGCAATTGAAACTTCGTGGCCCATGCGCAGAAGTCGGTTTTCGGAAAGGAGATAGACGAAACAAGTATACAAGACAAGTGTGGATGGGAGAGTTGGAAGGGGTCGACCTCAGCGAACGTACCTCAATCAAATTGAGGACTTTTTTAGCAAAGGCCAGCTTAGGAGTACCCTAATTAAGTTAATTACAATGTACCTACCTATATAGATTAAGTTTAAAAAATTTGGCTCTCAAAAGAAATTTCAATCGTTGTACTGTTGATATTTGGCTCTGTTGACTAGTGAGTTTGCCGACCACTGCCCTAGTCTAACTGTAGTGCTTCCCTTGGCGTACTTTCTTAATCGTGAGGGTGGGGAGGACCTCTACCTGAGTAATTAGCGTTACCCTCACACCAGCACGGTCTATTCAGGAGGGTGCCTTTTCCAGGAACTGCCATCGGGGCTGGGATAACTGCAGTCTCTGTGCTTTGGGTCGGTAAGAGGAGAGCAGCTGTGAGTTGAGTCCAGCGAAGGGAGGCGCTTCTCCTCCCAGCCGGGGCCCCCGGCTCCTGGGGCACCTGTGCAGGGCGGCGTGGAGCTCCGGGGCCACAGAGCAGAGAATATTTGAATCCCCGTGGTTTTGAGGACTTTGGTGATGCTCACATTCCCCTCAAGCTTCCGGTTCATCTGATATTAGTCCTGCTTTTCCTGGTGCTGTGGAGTGCCCTGGGCTCAGGGTCCTGATACGGGTCACTGCGGAGGGCGGTCATTGCCAAGGCTAAGGACAGGGCTTCACCAGGTGGGTAGGATTTGCAACTGTCGCTAGTCTGAGCTTTAGGACTCCAGCTGGTATATCGGGTGCACCTGAAGAGGTCCCAGATAATCTGAGCACCTGCTGTTTTTCTCAGGACTTGTTGAGTTTGGGAGTCAGCTAGGATCTAGGGCAGTGGTTCTCAACCTTCTGGCCCTTTAAATACAGTTCCTCATGTTGTGACCCAACCATAAAATTATTTTCGTTGCTACTTCCTAACTGTCATGTTGCTACTGTTATGAATCATAATGTAAATATCTGATATGCAGGATGGTCTTAGGCGACCCCTGTGAAAGGGTCGTTCGACCGCCAAAGGGGTCTCGACTCACAGGTTGAGAACCTCTGACTAGGGTGTGGTTGAAGGAACCCACTTCCTTACCCCTCTGGCAGTGAGGGAAGCAGAGTCCACCAGGCCCGTGGCCTCGTACTTATGGAGAAGTTGCAGCTCCCTGGTCTCTTTTGTCCCGTCTCCTTTGACCAGGTGGGTGGTGGGGGGATGTTTGGCTGTAGGAACACGTGACTTGGCGCACAAAAAGGAGACCAGCTGGCTGGACCAGAGTCAGAGGCTTTATTCTTTCTTTTCACACAAGAGAACTTACAGGGAGATAGACTGTGATCGGCAGCGGATTATTTGTGAGGAAGTAGCCCAAGCGACTTGACTCTTAATACTCAGATGGGCTCTAATCCTTGTTTCCTTTCTGGTCTGGGATCAGAAAATGTAGGACAGGCTTGGAATTGGCTGATGACAATACCCACAACAAGTTATGCCCCAGAAGCTCAGAACCGGTCGGAAGGGTGGGCATGGCAGCTGTCAGTCCGTCTTCGCTACTTGTGATACTTGTTTTAATTTTTTTGATTCTACCTCTATCTTCCCTTATCAAAAAGTGACTTGAATTTAAAGCCAGTGAATGAAAATTAATTTTGTGGAGCAAAGAAAAAAGTATTAATCCTCAGTAATAAAATAAAGTCAAATAAAAACAGTGAAATATACCATTTTCTGCTGACACTTTAGCAAAGATTAAAAATAAGCACACCTCAAGTTATTTTATTAGTATGTTAATTTGGAAAGTACTGGTGAGTGTGTAACGTACTGCTGAGGGTGTAAATTGTGCTTTTGCAAAATAATTCAGAAGAATTTATCGAGCCCAGAATATTTGTATTCTGCTTGTTCATTCCATACCCAGAAAGCTCTCCTAACAGAATCACTTACATTATTTTTAGACCATTTTTCCTATTGCAAAAAATAATATATACTCAATGCAGAAAGCTGGGGAGAACATAGGAAGACAAATTAGCAATTACAGATTAATCATAATCTTACTGCACAAAAATAACATTTTGGTATAACTTTCTCTAATTTTTCCTGTTTTTGTATACTTTTAAAAAATAGTTGTAACGTGCCCCCCCCCCCCCCCCCCCGGCTCTTAGCCATATATTTTGAGCAGTTTCTCCCTCTGTTGTACTCACCTGGGGAAACCCTAACCCTAAACTAGTTGAAACCAACTCTTCTTTTCTTCCTGGCCTGTACCTGGATAGGCGAACATTGTTTGAAAACACACATACACAAAACACAATTGAGCTGCCTGGTTTCACATTAAATTCATGGTCATGAACCTCAAATTAGCCCTTAATACTGTCCAGAAATGCTAAAACATCTCTAAATTCACTTTCCCAGACTTCAGGGAGATATTGGTTACACTCTTTCTTCAAACTTTCCATGTATGAGACCACTCTGCCCTCTCTTAGCCAGGACTCATCTCCTCACCTCTGCTGCAGATCTTCAAGGTCTCCTCCCGCTTCCCACTGGGGCCATGTGGTACCTGCCCTTGGTCACGCCTGGTGCTTAATGACTGGCCAACAGTGGCTACGCAACAAATGTTACTGAGTGAGTGAATGAATGCATATATATAGTTCCTATATCATTATTCCTAATGAGTACATAGTATTCCATTGTACAAATGTAACCTAAATGACTTACCACTGCTCTATTACTTTATGTATTTGTTTCCAATTTTTCATTCCACCGAAACATGGGAAATAATCTAAATGGCTATTGGACTATTATGGTTGCATTTTAAATCCTAGGAGGCATTTTTATTAACCTGGGGAAATGAGTTTGGTGACTGAAAAAAAGCATAATTAAAATTTTATATATATATATATATATATATATATATATATATATATATATCATGATTTTAACTGTAAACATGCAGAGAAAAAGCTAGTAGGAAATAACTAAAATGTTCATTAAGCATTTCAAGTTGATAGGATTACAGATTATTTTTCTTTTTTTTAAGTAAACAAGTAACACACGCTATTTTCTGTGTTTTCCAAGAGTACTGCAGTGAGTGTGTTGTTATAATCAGGAAGACAGTTCTAAACATTTCAGAACACATTTGCTGCACATCAGATTATTGCAAGTAGTCAAAAGCAGAGTTAGGAACCACTGTGCTCTAGAGAAGGACCTACGTGTTTGAAACACACTTACTAACAGGCCTGCTCACTACCTGGGTTTAGAAAAGGTGGTAAAAGTGGCATTTCCTATGAGACCTGCACGGCTGAGGACACTCAGGTGTAAAGGGGAATGATAGAGACTAAGCAAACACACTTTGGGAACCTCAATTTTTATTTTTTTTTATTTTATTATTTTTTTTTAAAATATATTTTATTGATTTTTTTACAGAGAGGAAGGGAGAGGGATAGAGAGTTAGAAACATCCATGAGAGAGAAACAGCGATCAGCTGCCTCCTGCACATCCCCCACTGGGGATATGCCCGCAACCAAGGTACATGCCCTTGACCGGAATCGAACCTGGGACTCCCCAATCCACAGGCCGACGCTCTAGCCACTGAGCCAAACTGGTCAGAGCAAGGGAACCTCAATTTTTAAAAGTGTAAAGTAGTCCTGAGACCAGAAAGTTTGAGAACCACCAAATTAAGGAAACAGGAAGAGAACTCTTTGTTGTTGTTGTTGTTAATCCTCACTGATTATTGGAGAGAGTGGAACGGAGGGAGTGGGAGAGCGAGAGATGAAACGTTGATGTGAGAGGGAGACATTGATTCAAACCTGCATCCCAGCCGCCCTTGACTGGCAATCGAACTTGTGACCCTTAGGTTCCCAGGCCAGAGCTGTACCACTGAGCCACACCGGCCAGGGCAGGGAGAAAACTCTTTACGGTGGGTTGAGTCTGGCTCAGTGAATAGACATTGAACAACGAGAACAAGGCCTGTGGGGAGAAAAATGACCGAGTCTAGTAGGCAGGAGTGGAAGTCCTTGAAATTACATTAAAGTTTCCTTTCTTCTTTTCTTCCTCCCTTTCTTTTGTCCTTTTTTAGAGATCATGCATGATGTGATAAAGAAGGTAAAGAAGAAGGGGGAGTGGAAGGTAAGCAGAACAGTATAATTAATGGCCTTAAAGGTGAGTTCATGGGGAAAGAACTACAGTGGGGGAAAGTGTAGAGGCAGAGAGTGAAGACCTTTGTTGTGTCCAGAGAATAAAATTAAAAAAAGGTAATCTGCTTATGCCTCTCGTTTGATAGGATCCTGGTTATGAAATCTCTTGGTCATAAAGCTTATCTGAAAGAGCACCTGCTGGGGCAGGTTCTCAGTGGAACTCTTTTATTCAAACAAAATCTTCCCTGAAACCCGTATATAAGCAGGAGAGGGTGGAATTCTGCCCACTGTGGGAGAGAAAGGCAAGGCCCTTTGGCCTCTCTGGCAGCCTTAAAGCATCTCCATGGAGCCCACACAATAGTGTGGAAAGCCCTCTTTTGGTCTGTCCACATCTGTCAGTAACTACATGTTTATTCATGTAACTTTGAGAACAACGCTGGCCGTTTCACATATAATGTACATGAAACAAGTATTTAAGTCAATCAAACTGATTGTGGCCTCAGTTCCTGGAGCGAGTGACGCGAGGAGCGGACAGCGTGCTGCCCTCCATTCAGGAAGTCGGCGTTTTAAGGGTCACTCGGTTGTCTGGGGCAGGGCCTTCCACTGGCCAGGAGAGCATGCAGTCTCGCTTGAACTTCCCGTGCGCTATTGAAGTTTATTCCAACCACTCTTGCCTGCAAGTTTGCAAGTCCATCGGCCGGGAGCAGCAGAGGTGACGGCCCAGGCGGGTTTTGAAGTCTCCCCTGGACTTGGGAGACTGTGTTAGCAGCACATCCCCCTCACCACCAGAGCGGGAGGCCATGTGGCGGGAACTCTCTATGCCCATCTTTGTGGACCTGGGAGTTTTAGAGGGTCTTGAGGAAGCTGCTGCATAGGCTGAAACCCGGCCCTCATGCTGCAGCAGCGTGCTTTCTGGGCCACATCCTGTCTGGCCTCTGTTACCTCCGTTTATATCATTAAAGGGGGAGAGGAGAACTAGCCTTGTTTTAACTGCATCCCCCTGTCCACCGTGCCGACTGGAGCTAGGAAAGGTTAGCTGAAGAGTTGCAGGCGTGAAACTTTTAGACCCGGTGGCACGTCTTCCTGAAGCACAGTTGGCTCCCAGAGGATGTGTGTGCTGGTGAAGGTGCGTCCCGATGACATTGTAACAGTCCTCACCTTCCAGACTGTCCTGTGGCACGAGTGCTCCCCCTCCCTTTAGGAAAAAGCTCTGCCCTGAGAAAAGACTCTCCAGTGTCGCTTCTGAGTGTGGGTGCTATGGAGTATTTTTATCTCTTTCTTTGCATTTTTATGAGTAATTGATCTCTTTATCATGGAAAATAAAAAGTTTAATTTTTTTAAACTAATAAAATTAAGTCAAGTCAGTAAAAGCAAGCTCTTAACTCCCAAGTTAGGTTAGCGTGTGGGGAAGAAAGCTAGCATGCATTTCAGCTAACTTCTGCTGGCCCCAGGAAATACTGAATCTCAGTGTTCTGCCTCCTGGGGCTCATGTTGAGGTCTGACGCGGTGAGCCGGTGAGAAGAGCAGAAGGTGCCGTACGGGCTGTAAGCGGCTCTCTCTGCTTCCAGGTGCTGGTGGTGGATCAGCTGAGCATGAGGATGCTCTCCTCCTGCTGTAAGATGACGGACATCATGACCGAGGGGATAACAAGTGAGCGCACCATTCTCTCTGCCCTTTAGTGACGCTCAGGCCTTCCCCTTGTGCCAGCTTCCCTCCTCCCTATTCAGTATTACCTACTTGACTTTAGATTCTTCCACCGACCTGGGTGGTAAGACTGTAAGTTCCTGAGAGAGACCCAAGGCTTCTTGTTCATCACTGAATCCCTAAGCCACTGCTAGATGCTCATTAAATATCTGTTAAAGCAGTGGGTTCTCAACCTTCTGGCCCTTTAAATACAGTTCCTCATGTTGTGACCCAACCATAAAATTATTTTCATTGCTACTTCCTAACTGTAATGTTGCTACTGTTATGAATCGTAATGTAAATATCTGATATGCAGGATGGTCTTTGGCGGTCATTCGACCGCCAAAGGGGTCGCGACCCACAGGTTGAGAACCGCTGTGTTAAAGGATGCCAAAAGGAAGACTCAATCAAGGGAAAAGGCAGGCCATCCAATAGGGAAAAAATGGGCAAAAGACCTGAACAGGCACTTAAAAAAAGAATAAATCCAAAATGGCCAATAAATACATGAAAAATTGCTTGCCCACTTTAAGGGCCAGGGAACTACAATTGAAACCAGAGTGAAATATGGCTGTATACTCACCAGACTGGAATATTTAAACTCTGATACTGCCAAGTGACAGAGAGGATGTAGAAAAATGGGAACTCCTATATGACAGAGTGTCAGTTGGTACAGCTACTTTGGCAGTGTCTAGGAGAGTTGAAGTGTCCTATGGTCAGATGTTTTGAGCTTACAAACTTATTTTCATTAATTTTTTAAAACTACATTTTTCTCTATCAAAGCATGGGAATTCTAAAGGAACTTGGAATTTGGGGGACAAATGAACAACAACAGCAACAAAACCTGAAGGAAGGGGCAAATTTTCCATTTTCAATCAGAGCAGCTCAAGGAATTTACTGAAACCGAAATGGGGAGTGGGAAATATTCAGTGTGCTAAGGTTTCAGGTCTTCTAAAATCTTGAGCACGGTGGGACGGCGGAAAGTGGTGACTATCAGGAAGGGGCAGTGACGCCCCCCCCCTCCCCCCAGGTTTTTATCTGTGCTTGTCTGAAGGTAGCCTGTGCCTGTCACTTCCAGTCTTGTGATGCCCAGTTGAGTTTTCTCACGGTGGGCTGCTGTTTTGTTGTCTAGTTGTGGAAGACATCAACAAGTGCAGGGAGCCACTGCCCAGCCTGGAGGCTGTGTACCTCATCACTCCGTCGGAGAAGGTAAGTCCTCCCCCCAGAAGAGCTTTGGCTAAGGTCACACATGCTGGCGTGGCGTCTGCGCAGCCGTGTCTGCAGTTTCTGGGTTAAGCACGCATGTGACACACTGCTCTGCTTAACCATGCAGTTCACAGTTGGGGTGGGAGAGGCAGAGAGGAGTGGAGAGAGCCTTACGCTTTCTGAAATACACCACAGCCTGGAAAGCCAGTGCCAGGCCATTCAGCTTCCCCTTGCATGCCCTCTCGGTAGGAACCCGCTTTATCTAGTTAGGGACCAGCCTTCCAAGCTTAGGTGTTTTATACTTTCAGGCAGAATTCACCAACAGCCCATTAGTGTTCGGAATTGCCTGTCTTATCGTTTTGGAGGCTTGGTTCAAATCAGCATCCAGACAAGGTCCACCTCCTTGCTTTGGGCTAACAGTTGTCTTAGGCTTGTCTCTCAGTCCATAAATTGCCCCCAGTTTTCACACTTTCTTTTCACTTGTAAAAGTTGGCTTATGAATGAGTTTCTGAAGATGCAACTACATTGCCAGAACTTCATCGGTGTGAATCTCCTAGAAGGTTTCTGACCAGATTCCTCTTTTGTGGGTCTCTTCTTAGGAGCCCATGTTATGGTGGCATCAAAGAACTGACACTGTCATTCTGGAATGATCTAAGAAGGCTTTTGTTCATCTAAACTCCCAAATAATCCTAGTTGCAAATCCCCAAACATGAGTTAGAATTATACATTAAAAATCCCCTGCTATTTTTGTGCAAGTAGCTTGAACGCCCTCTTGGATTTAATTTTGACCAGATATAGGCTCCATTTGCTGCTAGAATTGGATTCAGTTCCCTTTTTTATCCCTCTTCACAGTCTATCCGCTCCCTCATGAATGACTTTAAGGACCCACCGACTGCTAAGTACCGGGCTGCCCATGTCTTCTTCACTGACTGTGAGTACGGCTGTCAGATGCTGCCCCATCCTCCAGGGTAGCCTTTCTGCACGGCACGGCTGAGCCAGAGCCAAGCCAGGGCAACAGGGAAGAAATGGGTTGTTGCCGTGATTGTCCTGATCTTTTCTTTTCTTTCAGAAGAAAAATTGCATTAGAGACAAAAATAAGCACACACACATGCAAACCCTCTAGCTAGTGCGGTCCTTTCTGATGAAAATAGCACCTCTTCTTAGGACTGAGCAGAACGTCCCGGTGTCAGTCTTGGTGTTTCACCGTGTGGACTTCCAGATGTCACTAAAGTATAGTATATGTCCATCCGCTTTCCAACCTCAAAGGTTTCACCTGGTCTTTATCTCAGCTAGACTGGCATCATTGTCCTGGAGTCTGTTCTGTTATTTGTGTGCAAGGAGCCCGTGTGCTAACATCCTGGTCAATCTTTGTTAACAGCAGAGAGATGAGTAAGGCGGGATAGCTAAAGAGTGCACAACCATAACAGGTTCCCTAGTGTTCTTCTCCGAAGGAAAACTGGCAGAACTTACTCCTGAGAAAGTGGGGAAAGGTTCTGGCAAAGAATACTTTTATACCATTTGAATGTGGGTGACGGAGAGAGCAGGTAGGCAGCATGAGTAATAGTGAAACAAGAGTGCATTTCTGGGACCCTGCACTGTGTTTGGCCCAGGAGAGCCGCATGAACTGTGGTTCCCCACCAAGTGGGTCTCCTGGGCGGCTGAGTTCCTTCGAGGGTCCAGGGAAACACCAGCACCACATTGCCCAGTGGTTTGATTTTTCGTTATTTTCTTTTTCATGAGCATGTCGGATGCATGATGTTGTGTATATTGCAGGTCTTTTCCTGCAATATAAAAAAAAATATTAAAAACAGGTGTTTTTTTTATTAGCTGTCAGAATCTCAGTCTTTATTGCCCATTGTTTCTCTGTTGAGGGCCTTGTGGGTGTTTTTATACTCCTTTTATAGCCTAGAGGTAGTGGATATTTTAGGAAGGAATTAACTTTTTATTTCCTTTGTTAAAATGCTGATAAATGAATCCACCAGACACGTGTGACTATTGAAATTAACCAGCAAACGGACAGGAAAACCTAGTGTCTTTTGTCATTCCTGCAGCTTGTCCAGATGCCTTGTTTAACGAGCTGGTAAAATCTCGAGCAGCCAAAGTCATCAAGACTCTGACGGAAATCAACATTGCGTTTCTCCCCTACGAGTCCCAGGTGAGGCTGGTGGGGAGCGCATGGAACTCTGCATCCTTGTTATTCTGTCAGGAGCTCTGAGAGGGTGGGGTAGGGGTGCAGTACACAGAGTGGCGAGGGAAGGTGTCATATTCTGGAAGACAATGAGGGGTTGTGAGTGGATGTTTATGTAATGGAAAGAGGCGGTATTCCTGAGGGGTCTGCCCGGCCTTCATCTTACTCTGTATTTATTTCTGACCTTTTTAAAGCCTTTGTGTGCACTTCTCCTTGCTCCCAGCGTTCACCCCAACTGGCTGAGTCCTGAATAACCAAAAGGTAGCCGATCCAAAAAGAGCATGGAAGGAGAGATGGGAAGGGATCAGACAACGCCCATCTGCTGTGAAGGAGACTGTTTCTATGTAGAGATAACCTCAGCCTGTCATGTGCTGAGCGAACAGATGGCAGCCTTCGTCATTAGCCCTTAACACTGCCAGTGCCAGGAGGGCGGCAGCAAGCCGCCTCCTTGGAAAACACAAAGTTGTTAAACCAGTAAAGGAGAAGCTGATTGTGAGAGGCACAGAATGAATGTCCTAGTCTTTTAAGATTTTTAAAATCTTCTGGCAAACAAAGAAATGAGATAACAGGACATTTATGCATTTTGTAGAGATAAAAAATGATTGTGGCATATGGCAGTGGTTGCCAACCTTTCGGACCTCACAGACCACCAGTGGTCTGCGGAGCACGGGTTGGCGACCGCTAGCATATGGAATCTTTTTTTATTTTTGCACATGGAATCACCTGTTCTCAGCTAAGGAGGGATGGGAAAAGTATAGCATGAACATTTAAACACGGTCTCCTTCCCAGCTCACTTGGCCCAAAGCCCATTCCCTGAGGAAAGCACGTTTTTTCCTCTCTGTGAGCCCTGTCACCACCTGGATTGAACGCAATCCACCTTTACCATGTTCCCGCACACCATAGTGCATAGACTGTAAAAAGCAATACACTTCAAACACAGCCCTCCGCTTTTCTAGGTGATCAGGGCGGTTCACATCAATGAGATTCTGAGAAAATACTCAGCTGGTAGGCTAGGGAGTGTAAGAGAAAACTTTACACTTCCGAACTCTCCAAAGAAAAAGAAAAGTAATTAGAACATACCCCTGAGGATGCAAAATTGTTCAATCAAAAAGCACATTTGCACACAGTCACAGCACAATTTCTAGCTTATCCCTTATTTACTTAACCCTCTAATGGCCTGTGAGGCCTGACACTAGCCTCCTCTCCTGCTCTCCTCCCGGTCTCCTCATTGTTCATCAGACACGCTTGCCTCGGTTCTGGCACAGCCATCCCTCCGTGGGGAAGTCCCTGCTGGTGAGAAACTCCGTACCTCCTTCAAGCCCTATTCCAACGTCACCTTCTCCAGGAGGCCTTGTCCTCCCTGTTTAGCCCATCCGGGCATTCTTTCCCTGCTTTATTATTTTCTCATACACACACCAGTTTCTCACATGCCATACAACTTACTTTCATTATGTTTATTGTTTGTTTACTGCCTGCCTTCCCTTCCCGCACTCCACGAGGATGATCATGTTTTGGTCACGAATAGTTCCCATGTGTTTAGCACAGTGCCTGGCCCAGCAGACACCCAGCCCAGATTTGAAGGATAAATGAAAACATGCTCTGTAGACTCGCTATCAGGTTTGGAGAAGATTCTGACGTTCAGCATCCTGGATGCAAACACTCTATATGTGTATATTTTTGCCTCCTCCTCAGGTGTATTCCCTGGACTCGGCTGACTCTTTCCAGAGCTTCTACAGTCCCCACAAGGCTCAGATGAAGAATCCGATACTAGAGCGCCTGGCAGAGCAGATCGCCACTCTGTGTGCCACGCTGAAGGAGTACCCAGCCGTGCGGTATCGTGGGTAAGGCAGCGCGCTCGGGAGAAACTGTCCCGATTCCTCTGGCCTTAACATTCCTTTGCCAGTTGTCTCAGGGTCAAGATTTGAGTGTCTCGCATTTATAATTATTCTTCCAATGGTTTTGTCATTTTTTAAATTTTATTGTGAAATATAGTAATACATACAGAAAAGAGCATGAAATATACATATATGTTCAGTTATGAGTAACTAAAATATGAACCCCTATGTAATGGCCACCCAGGTTCCCTGTAGTTTTTCATCTCTTCCTAACCTTTAAAAACAAACATCATCTTTGCAGAAGATGTTTCAGAGTAAGGTAAAATAATTCTCTAAAGGACACAGTCAGGTTTTATAACGTCATCCATGCATCACTTACCTGCTGTGTGCTCAGTGCTGGGGAGACTCCACCTGAGGACACAGCCCTGATCCGGGCGGGCAGGGAACATCCCAGCAGATGGGCCACAGCTGTGCACACCTGCAGTGTAAGCCCTGCGAGATATGACTAAGGGCAGACCAGCCAAGGGCCCTTCGGCCCTTCGAGCTGAGAGGATCAAGAGCAGCTCAGACTAGAGGGGACGTTTGAACTAGGTCTTGAAGGACAGGTTTGGATTTCAAAAGACCGATGAGGACCAGAGGGCCTTTTCTGTGGACAGTTGGCTTTGCCATTGGTATGAGCAAAAGCGTGGAGCTGGGGAAACCAAGGGCAAGTTTGAGGAGGATGGGCAGTCTAGCACAGTGTGTAGGGCAGGGCGAGATGGGGCCATTTCTGGAGGCCTCCAATGCCGGCTTTGGGATTAGGTCCTTCAGTGGCTGTCCCCGGGAAACCTTTGGGGGGTTGACGGGGGAGTGAACGCAGGAGTCAGGGGAGGAGAAACTGGAGCCAGAGGAGCTGAGGGCCTGAACCTGGAGTGCGGGGTCAGTGTTCCACCCAGCCTGTTGCCTTTGTCTGCTGGACGTGTAACCGTAGAATGACACCTCCCTTGGTCTGCCCCAGCGTCTGACCCCTCTGTTGTTGGTGCTCCCTGACAAAAGCTGGAAATGGGGGCCGAGGCCATCTCCCCTGACAGAGGAGTGGCGGATTGGAGTTCATTCGTGGGAGGGCTGGGCTGGGAGCAGAGGCGTTTCAGCCTGAGCCTGGCCAGGTGGCAGGCAGCACCACACACTGTGTACAGCGGGTGGGGCCCCGGAAACGCTGTCAGGCTGAGCCCAGGGTAAGGTTCAGAGGTTCTCACTTGCTAGCAAACAAGACCCAAGGGGATTTGAGTCAAGGGAAGTGAGACTCAGGTGGGTCAGGCTCAGATGGCCGATCCCGGGGAAAGGACGGATGGTCAGGACCCTCTGCTGATGTGGGGCTGCTCATCGGAAGCTGCTTTTCATTCATTTCTGTTCCAAGAACAGAGCTAAATATTTGATTCTGTTTGTCCTTTTTAATGATACATGCATATGTGCCTATATCCTCATTGTAAAAGAGCAATGCAGGTGAAACTCGCGTGCCCCTTGACCTGCCCGCACTGTCCTGCCTCTCTCCCGAGGCCCGTCACGTGTCTCTCCTCCTCGGCAGGGAGTACAAGGACAATGCTCTGCTGGCCCAGCTAATCCAGGACAAGCTCGACGCCTACAAAGCCGATGACCCCACCATGGGCGAGGTAAGTGGCCGCGGACCACGGATTCTCTCACCGGGTGATGTGAGTGCCGCTGTCCCTGCTCGTGGCCTCTGGTGACATGCTCCGCCCCGTGGGCAGGCCGATGGAGACTCTGGTCAGTGTAGCCAGGGCGACGACTCCTTTCTGTTCTCCGGGACGACCCCAGATTTAGCACTGAAAGCCCTGCGTCCTGGGATCCCCCTCCGTAGAACAATGTCAACCCCAGAAAACGGACCTTGTGCAGATCTCACTGGTTTGCACACGTACTCGTGTGTGTGAGTGTGTATGTGAGTGTGTGTGTGTGTGTGTGTGTGTGTGTGTGTGTGAGTTCTATTTAATTGTATCACATGTATAGATTCCTGTAAGCCCACTGCAGTCAAGGCACAGAGTTCTCATCATCTCGGGTTTACAGCCACAAGTCCCAGGGCCTGGAACCCGTTGGCCCGGGCAGATGCCTGGTGGGCCACCCGTTCGTAGCTGAACCCAGTGGTGCTCTTCTTTGTGAGCTCACCTTGGACCAGCCACCGTTTCAGATCTGCTTCAAAGGACACTCGCTATGAAACAGACATCCTGGGTTCTCTCTCACACGGTGTGGACTGGGATTCTGGTCAAGCAGTAAAGGGACTGTGTTCCGTGCTATTTCAGTAGGTTTTGTCTCCGAGTTCACTTCCTGCTGCCCCTTTTGCAGGAGGGCCATGCGTGGTGCAGAGCCAGCACTGTCCAGAGTGGCTTGTGAAAGTCCCCCGTGTCCTTCCTTCTAGGGCCCAGACAAGGCTCGCTCCCAGCTCCTGATCCTGGACCGCGGTTTCGACCCCAGTTCCCCTGTTCTTCATGAGCTGACCTTTCAGGCTATGAGTTACGATCTGCTGCCTATCGAGAATGATGTGTACAAGTAAGTATACCACCCGGAGGGACTGCAGCTTTGCAAACGAACCAGATACAACCTCTGACTTAGGAAAAGGGCGTCATCAATCCTAGGAAAAGTGGGTGTTTCCATAGTCTTGTCAGTTAGCCTGCAAGCTTGTCTGTGAGTTCCCAAAATCCTCATGGCACTTCTAGCCAGGAACCCGGGCCCCTTTGGGGGAGAACAAGGACTTTAGTTCCCAGCTCTGTAGTCTGCTCTCGTGTCAGTATGTCGTCGATTTGGGCATGTGTGCGGATCTTTTTCAGAGTTGAATCTTACTTGCAGATCATCAAATATGATGACAGATACATCCACAGGAGTTTCTTACCGAACTCATTTGCAGAGGAGCCGTTCCCTTCATTACAAACATTTTTCTTGGTAGCAATCATTAGAAATTCAGTTTCTAAAAACTAATCTTTATTTTTATGGAAACAGACTGCACTGCTCTCATGTCATTTACATTGATCATAAGGGTAGTGAATGAAGGTTCTGGAACTCTGAGTGGATCTCTGCTCTTCTCCCTTCGGCACCTGTGGTTCTTGCCTTCCTTCGAGTTCATGCTTTCACAGGCGTCCTAGACCGAGGGCCTGTGCAGGTCACTGCTGAAGGTGTCAGGCACCCCGCATTGGAGGATGGTGCTCAGGCCTTTCTGAGAGAGGGACAAAGGGTGATCTTTGTCTTTCCCTTGTAACTCACCTATAACCTGACTTCACACCCGAGCCACATGGCTCAGGTGGCGCTCACGTCAGCTGACCCTGAAGCATCTAAAACGGAACTCCGTGTCAGTTGACCTTGATTGGAGCTCTCTGCCCGAGTAACTGCAGCCATTAGTGCCCATCCCGCAGACACCAGATGGTCATGGAGCTTGTAAAGTCATTCCTGGGGACATCTGTCCGCTGAGGACTGTGAGCTCTTGTCTGTTGCAAACCAGAGGGGACTTGGATGGATTTTGTGGGCCCTCCCCTCTCTAGGTATGAGACGAGCGGCATCGGAGAGGCGCGGGTGAAGGAAGTGCTTCTGGACGAGGACGACGACCTCTGGATAACGCTGCGCCACAAGCACATCGCAGAGGTGTCCCAGTAAGAGCCCTCCCGCCCTCCTCCAGGGCGAGGCGTTTCTCTCTCCCCAGGGTGGTTTCCAGTGTGCGCTCTGGGCAGCTGGGGTGGAGCGCATCAGTGATGAGCTCGCTGCCTCGGCAAAGTGGCCAACATGCTAACCTCTGATGATAAATCCCTTCTGATCCCTGGCTAGGGCTCCACCAGCTTCAGGAAGTTAGAAAATTCATTCTGTGTTAGGGGGACTTTAGGATTTTTGGAAAGCATTTGTACCTCTCAGCAAAATCCTATATAATAAAAGCCTAATATGCAAAGTGTCCGACCATTCAACCAGTCACTATGCTGTGCACTGATCACCGGGGGCAGATGCTCCAACCGGTAGGTTAGCTTGCTGCTGGGGTCCGGCCAGGCAAGACAGGCTGGACACACCCTGGAGCCCTCCTGTGGTCCCTCCCCGGCCCCGATCGTGCACCGGTGGGGTCCCTCAGTCTGACCTGTGCCCTCTTGCAATCCGGGACCCCTCGGGGAATGTCAGAGAGCCAGTTTCAGCCTGATCCCTGCAGGCCAGGCCGAGGGACCCCACTGGTGCACGAATCCGTGCACTGGGCCTCTAGTGCTTTATAAACACTAAGTATGTAAAATGAGTTTGTTCCATTTAAAGGTCCAGACCCCACCATGCAGTTCTCTCTTATGTAGCTGGTATGTGATCTTCCTCTTCTGTGGTCATACCTAAAATTTCTGAGCAAGAACTGTCTCCACACACAGAACAGACTTTGCTCTGAAAATGTTTCAAAATGTTTCCCACATGTAAACGTTGTTATAAGACCTTTAAACAATTCTGCTTTTGGAAAAAGACACATTCTGCCACATTGAGTTGGTGATATCCTCAGAAAATTCACAGGGAAGAGTGAGAAAATAATAGTCTTGGATAGCTCTGCTGTTAGAAGTGGTCTCCACACTTTGGGGATCATTCAACTTTAGAAAATGTTGGTTCACATTTCCAGTATTTACATTTAATTAAATTTATCTGTGAAGTAAAATATATGCTTTGTTGTACTAATGTGTATATTTTACAGCATGTACAAAAACATAAATTTGAAAAGGATGAAGTAAAATAAGCATAAGTAGATGTCCTAATATTTTCTTCTCTCTTCTGGAATCATCTCATGCACCCCACTCTAGAGAACCCTGTTTAGAATATTAGCTAGAAAAACACTGTCTGTCTGTCTCTCTCTCAGAAAGTCACTTGAAATGTGTCCCTTATGACAGGAGAAGTCACCACATTTTCCTAAAGGAAGACTCTTGCATTATTCCAGTGTCACTCATACAGAGGCACTTGGTGTTGCTTTGAGACTTAGCTGCCTTCTTCTGTCTTCCAGGGAAGTCACCCGTTCTCTGAAAGATTTTTCTTCCAGCAAGAGAATGAACACGGGGGAGAAGGTGAGCCCGCCTGCTTTCTCCCCAGGAGCAGGGAGGACGCCTCCCCGGCATCAGGCTGGGGAGCTGGGGAGCTGGGGGCTATAGTCCTCCCTTCATCCGTGATCGTTTTGTCTTACTTCTGCATTCAAGACTGAGATCCAGACCCCGTCTTCTGATATTTATAGAGAGCTTCTTTCTGTTACTCTGCGGATCCATATTTGCTGTTTTGGATCATGATTCATTTTAAGCCGGAAGAACTGTGAAGCCTTTTTTAGCTTGTGAAGGAATTAGAATTCATGACCTAACTTTCCTGGGCCTCTCCTTATCCTGCTGTTTACAGAGGTGCTTACCCATCAGCAGAGGGAGATGAGCTCTGATTGTGTCACTCCCTGGCTTAAAACCATTTATCGACTTCCCGTTCCCAGGAGAATCAAGCCCCACCTGCTGACACATCTATGGAACCTGGGTCGTCAGGCTCCAGAGACTCTCTGGTCTCGGACATCCCTGTCTCCCTCCTTCTTGTCCTACCGCCTTCCTCCAGCCACACCTGAGCTCCTTGTCTGGGCCTTGCCTTGTGAAGTCCCAGTCCTTTGCTCAGGTGTCGTGTTTTTTTGTTTTTAAAATGTTTTTAGTCCTAACCGGTTTGGCTCAGTAGATAGAGCGTCGGCCTGCGGACTGAAGGGTCCCAGGTTCGATTCCGGTCAAGGGCATGTACCTTGGTTGCGGGCACATCCCCTGTAGGGGGTGTGTAGGAGGCAGCTGATAGATGTTTCTCTCTCATTGATGTTTCTAACTCTCTGTCCCTCTCCCTTCCTCTCTGTAAAAAATCAATAAAATATATTTTTAAAAATAAAATAAAATGTTTTTATTGATTTTTTGAGAAAGAGGGAGAGAGAGAAACATCAGTGAGAGAGAAACATTGATCGACTGCCTCCTACATGCCCCCCTACTGGGGATTGAACCTGCAACCTGGGTATGTGCCCTGACTGGGAATTGAACTGGTGATCTCTTGGTGAATGTGACACACTCCGTCCACTGAGCCACACCAGCCAGGTCGGGTGTTGTTTCTGGGGGAGGAGCAGGAACCTTCCCTGCTCCTCCCTAGACTAGTGACGTGCCTCTGCTCTGTGCACCACACTGACACCCTCAGAGAGCGCCAGGCCACTCAACGGGACAGGCCCCGCCAAACGCGAGCTCTTCAAGGCAAAAGTACTTGTATGTCCAGCACCTAAAAGTGTCTGGAATGTAGTAGTAATTCAATAAATTCTTGTTGGATAAGTGAGCGGGATTAGGTGGGTCACACAGTTAGAGGGTAAGCAGACCCCTTTCACCTGTCAGGATGCAGATTCCAGCCTTTCACCTTCTCACTACTGCCCCCTGTCTACTCAGCTGCAGCCTTTCAACATGAACGTGATGCCAAGAGAGCTTAAGCTGGGGGTGCGGAGAGGCAGTGGATGGACAAAAACGTGTTCTTTCCTGGCAAGAGTTATGCTCTCAGTAACTGTCTAGTCCAACAAATAAAACATAACTGCTGGGCTCCGGAGTTCAGCTCTCCACCCATAAGACAGTCATGCTATTTGGGTCAATAATTATTTGAGCAGAAGCTTGGCAGTCTGAACACACATGATCTTGTGTGTAATGGATTCCTTTTGAGAGTAACAGAACACACTTGGCTTTCCTTTCCTTACAGACCACCATGCGGGACCTGTCCCAAATGCTGAAGAAAATGCCCCAGTACGGGCGTGAGACCGTCTGCTTTCCTTTCCTTACAGACCACCATGCGGGACCTGTCCCAGATGCTGAAGAAAATGCCCCAGTACCAGAAAGAGCTCAGCAAGGTATGGCGATCCAACATGACCGAGTGGGATCGTGAGCGTAATGAGCTTCAGAAAGGCGTCTCAGAGTCCTAGCACACTGACCGGTTCATTGACATCCACGGATCTTCAGTCATCTTCCATTCTTACTAGACAAAAATGGGAGGCTGGGGTAGACAGCTTCTTTCCTAGGACTTTTCTCCTCTTCATCTTTTTTCTTTATTCTTCCTATTCCTCTTCCATCAACCTCACCACGGGGCTGCCTGAGTGTCATCACAACATGGCAGCTGGCTTCCCCGGAGTGAGTGACCCGGGAGAGAGCTGGAAAGAAGTCACCTGCCCTCCCGGTCCTGTTGCGGGACATCACACATCACCTCCTCCGCACTGTTCCTTAGAAGCGAGTCACTAAATCCAGCCCACACTCGAGGAGGGGGGAGCTAAGCTCCTCCTGGAGGGAGTAATGTCGAATTTGTGGGCACGTTGTGCAGCCATCATCCCACCCCATCCCACCCACGAAGGATTCCTCCTTCCTGTTGACCCTTTGAGTGTGGTTGTCCCTCTCTCGACACATAATGCCCTGCCTTGCGGTGGTTGTGTGCCGGCCTGCATGAGGCTGGTGATTCCTTGGTGTCTGGCCCAGTGTTTATGCATCATAGGTGGGTGGCACACATATCAGCGAGTAATTCTTGCTCACAAACTGCTTTTTCCTAGTATTCCACCCACCTGCATCTTGCCGAGGACTGCATGAAGCATTACCAAGGCACCGTGGACAAGCTCTGCCGGGTGGAGCAGGTAGGACCCTTTCCTTCTCTTCCTGCCATGACCACTTACCCAGCAGAAGTTTAACCTCTGACCTTGAACATCCTGCAGAATCATAGGAAGTAGAGATGGGAAAGCCCACGGGATCGTGTGGTCTCACCTCGCGAGCCAGTGCCGCACACTCTCAAGGGTAGGGACTGGACGGTCTGGAAGGCCATGCCGTGTGGATTTTGCATGTCTGGCTTTCCAAAGGTTCTGAGCCCTACAGGCGGGGCCGGCTGAGTTTAGATCCGAATGCATTTCTTCCTGCTGCAGCCACAGCAGCTTCGGAGGCCTCGGGTAGTGCAGTAGCAGGTGGGGAATTCGCCCCCGCCTCACTGGTCACAGTTAGGGCTGGAAAGGTCAGAGTTTGGGATTTGAGTTGTGTCTCTGTCACGGATTTGTTTGCTGTGCCCATTTCTCTCTGTATTTTCCTCATCTGCAAAGGGAAATGCCATGCTGCCATGACTTCTGGGAGTGTGGTGTGGTGTGGGGTCAGTAAGCTGGCACTCAGTTCTTCCATTGGGATAACATGACCCAGCCAGGGGCAGCTTCTCGGCGGGGAGAGAGCACTCCGCCATCCTGAGGCCTCAGCAGAAGGCCCCTCTTCACAGTAAAAACAGCTCAAGTTCTCAGTGAGATGCTGAGATTACATCGTCTGGTTTGATATGATGGGCTCAGCTTAGGTTTGAGCGACCTGCCCCGATTCATTGCCTCTCTTCGAATGGACGCAGCCCGGCTAAACCCGTCCGTTTCCCAGGGGATCTTGGCAGACACAGGCGTCCTCTCCGAAAGGCCTTCACCGCCAGAGGGTGGGTTATCTCTGCATCAGTAACAGCGCAGTCGGGATCAGCCCTCGGAAGTGAAGTTGTTGCAGAGTGCGCAGTAGTATTTGGTGAACTAGTTACATTTAATTTGCCTTTTGGAAAGTGTTAGAATCAGGTCCTGCTGAACAAACATCCGTGAGGCTGGTGGTGGGACTGAGAGGTGAAGGGGCCTAGGAGAGGTGCCCTGCCTTCCTCCCACCCAGACTGGGAAGAGGCCATGAACTTGAGGTCATAATTGTTATGAATTCCTGGGATCTTGAGGGGGAAAAGGGAACCACAGAGGAAGTTGCAGCCACAACAGGACCAATAGTTCTTGATGGGCTGAGCCTGCTGCCCTGGCTCGAAGCTTCCCCTGAGGCTGGCACAGGTTCACTGGCACCTCCGGAAGGGAACAGCGACCTGTAAACAAGGTGGCAAATCATCGAAAGTGAAACCTGGATGGTCTAGAAAGCGGTGCATTTTACCCGGGTGCTAGCTGGAGTCGTGAGAGTGGAAGTACCTGCTCAGGACCCTCCCCAACCCAGCCACAGTCCCAGACATTACGGACCTGAAGTTTCCCAGTAGTTACCGCCTATCCAGACTGTCACCAGAAGCGGGGCCAATGTGGCATGTTTCTGCAGGACCTGGCCATGGGCACGGATGCTGAAGGCGAGAAGATCAAGGACCCCATGAGAGCCATCGTCCCCATTCTGCTGGACGCAAATGTCAGCACTTATGACAAAATCCGCATCATCCTCCTCTACATCTTTCTCAAGAATGGTAGGAGTGGTGGGCACGAGGAAGGCAGCTGGGGGGACCAAGCAGGCGGAAGAGTGGTGTCAAAGGAGTGGAAGGGTATTTGACAGGAAGACCCCCGGGGCTCTTTACGTTTGGGGAAATGTAACGCAGGCAAATCAGTTTCCACTGGAGGCTGTGCCCCCGTAGTTCTAGGGTTAAGCTGTGGTCTGGGACTCACAGCCAAGGACCTAGGGCCAGTGGGGGGGCCCTTAAAGCAGGGAGCGTGTCTGCCAGACATCTTGAACTCGCACCACACTTGTAGTCTGTGCCTTTAAATAACTGATTTTTACCCCATCATAGTTGCCCACATGTGTCCATTGTGCAAAAAGATGGGCACAGAGACTCCTGTCCATGTTGACCTTGATGTGGGCCCAGGGGGCAGGGGTGGCTGAGGAGCAGGAGACAGGGAAACAGACCCTGAGGGGCAATTGCCGATGGCCGCAGCCCGGGATGGGTGGTTAGCGTGGAACAGGAGTCCTGATCTTGTCCTCGCCTTACGGTAAAGTTGCTGCAATGAGCAGGTTAACTTCCACCCATGCTGAGGGGAAGGGGCACTGTCCCCCTCCTGCCAGGCGGTGGGCTGGGCCTCTGAGTGTGCACTGTGCAGGGGCGGGTGTGGTGACGGGTTTTGCTCTCTCAGGCATCACTGAGGAAAACCTGAACAAACTGATCCAGCACGCCCAGATCCCCCCGGAGGACAGCGAGATCATCACCAACATGGCGCACCTGGGCGTGCCCATCGTCACCGACGTAAGGGCCAGCCTTGGGGGGGTGGGGAGGGCAGAAGGGAAGCTGGTGGGTCTTTTCTCTTCTCCCCTAACTTACTTAGGCAGTTTATGAGGCACACACTCAACTCTGAGAAAGAGAGCAGGTAAAATCAGAGGAATAAAGATCCCGAGATGAGTAACAGGGTTAGCGCCAGGAACCACGACGTGCACAGGCAGGCGTGGAGCACAGCGCCAAAGCTGAGCCGTACTGTGGACCAGCCACAGCAGGAGCCGCGCCTGCAGGTCGGCCTGGCTCTGCCTTTGGACACTAGACGCAGCTTCTTCCATGAGAATCAACACTGCCACTGGTCCAGGACCAAGTCAGGGCAGCTTGTCCGGGAGGCCCAGCCCACAGTGGGCTCTAGGAGAGGCTGGGGGTGGGGGCCCAGGATGAGGAAGAGTCCTGAGCACTCTTCACAGCACCCCACTAGGATCCTCCAGGCAGGGACCCGGTGGGGGTTCCTCCTGTGGCGGTCAGTCTGCCACAGTGCTGACCAAGCTGGAGCTGCAGATGCTGTTCTGGAGCCACCAGACCAGAGGCCTGTAACTGGCATTTTTAGACCCATGTTCACAAGAGGGACCACAGTGAGAATGGAGACGATTCCTTCAGTACGTCCTGTGCTGTTGAAACAAAATCAAAGAGTAAGCCATACGCAAAGTAGTGTTTTCTCCTGGTGTCAGTCGACAGCAAACTATTTTTTTTTAAATATATTTTATTGATTTTTTACAGAGAGGAAGGGAGAGGGATAGAGAGTTAGAAACATCGATGAGAGAGAAACATCGATCAGCTGCCTCCTGCACGCCCCCCACTGGGGATGTGCCCGCAACCAAGGTACATGCCCTTGACCGGAATCGAACCCGGGACCCTTGAGTCCGCAGGCCGACGCTCTATCCACTGAGCCAAACCGGTTCTGGCAGCAAACTATTTTTTTTAACTACCTGGATTTTTTTTTTTAATTTGACCTGCATTTGCCATGACTTTAAAGAGCCACGTTTGGCCCTGGCTGGTGTGGCTCAGTTGGTTGGGCAATGTCCCGTGCACCAAAAGGTTGCCAGTTCGATTTCCATTCAGGGCATATGCAGGCTTGATCCCTGGTATGGGGCACACAGGAGGCAACTGATAAATGTTTTGCTCTCACATCAATGTTTCTCCTCTCTCTCCCTCTTCCTTCCTCTCTCTAGAAATCAATTTAGAGTATTAAAAAATAAGCCCTAGCCAGTTTGGCTAAGCGGATAGAGTGTCAGCCTGTGGACCAAAAGTTCCCAGGTTTGATTCAGGTCAAGGGCACATACCTTGATTGCAGGCTCCTCCCCGGCCTAGGCCCTGGTATAGGAGGCAACCAATCGATGTGTTTCTCTCACATCGATGTTTCTCTTTGTCTTTCCCTCTCTCCTCCACTCTCCCTAAAAATCAATGGAAAAATATCCTCAGGTGAGGACTAACAAAAAAATAAAAAATAAGAATAAAAAAATAAAATATTAAAAAAACAAAAAGAAAAAAAAGAACCAACTTTGCTCCAGTTCCTAGAAGGGCATATTTTTGGCTTTTCCAGGGAAAACACTCCCACTCGTTAGAGTTTGCCTGCTGCCGTTCTGAAAGGAGGCCTTGGGAGAGGGTTTCCAGAGGCCAGCAGGGGCCCTGAGTCCACGTGGCCTGACAGTCTAATCTTTTTTTTTTTTTTTAATATATTTTATTGATTTTTTACAGAGAGGAAGGGAGAGAGATAGAGAGCTAGAAACATCGATGAGAGAGAAACATCGATCAGCTGCCTCCTGCACATCTCCTATTGGGGATGTGCCCGCAACCCAGGTACATGCCCTTGACCGGAATCGAACCTGGGACCTTTCAGTCCGCAGGCCGACGCTCTATCCACTGAGCCAAACCGGTTTCGGCGAGTCTAATCTTTATGTTTGCATTCAGTCTACGTTGCGTCGCAGGAGCAAGCCAGAACGGAAGGAGCGCATCAGCGAGCAGACCTACCAGCTGTCACGATGGACCCCGATTATTAAAGACATCATGGAGGTCAGTGATGTGGGGTGGGTGGGGTGAAGACAGACGCCAGGCCCAGGGCTCTTCACGTAAAGGCCTGATGCTTCCAGCTCCACCGCCTAGCAGGGGGCAGCGACACCTGAAGGACTGGCTTCCAGAGCTCTCTCAGGCCTCACAGCACGTCTTTGTCCTGGGGCTAGTGAAGAGCAGGCCCCACAGACGGCCAGGCGCAGGTCCAGAGACCACGTGATTTCTAGGCAGCAGGAGGCAGAGACCCCTCAGTGGTACCGCACCCAGAGGAACCCAACAGATCACAGCACCAAAAGGTCCCATGAGTAGCGAGTTCCATACTGAGGTGTGGGTGGGCCTCTGGAATGTGAGCCCAGCCTGCCCCCTTTCTCCCACTCATCCCGTCCCTCAGTCCTCCATGCCAACCAGAGACCCTGCCAAGCATATTTCTGCTTCTACTCTGTTCAAACCCACCCCTTGTCTGGAATGTTCTCGCTCTCCTTCCCGCTTCCTGAAGCCTCTTCCTTCAAAGTCCCCATCCCGTCTCACTGTGCCACCCACCACCCCATCTGGCCAACCCTCCCCACAGAGGCTGCCTGGACTCCAGGAGCCTATGGTAGGGGCGTTCTTTGAGCACGTATGCCGCTTGGTGTTTGGCTCATCTTTTTATACCTTGGTTCTATGCCCTCAACTGCTGCGTCCTCTGGCCCCATGCTTTGTGCATAGTAGGTGTTTCACGTTTGTTAGGTGCCTGTCCTTCCCATCTCTTCTTGTAGGTCAGGGAAGCCTGCGTGGAATCCCACCTGCTAGATGTTGGGGGCGGGATTAGAGCTAATCTATCCAATTCCTCACTTGACAGGCAGATGGGACTGGGGTCGGAGAATGAAGAGACTTGCTCAGGATCCCTTTGTTGACTCATAGCAGAGCAGGTGTTCGTACTGAATTGTACGTTTAAATAAATGTATTTTAAATATATACAGTGAGTCAGCTTCCTGTTTTTAAAACTCACGAACCAAAAGGCTGGGTGAACATGAGACATGTAGAAACCAAAGACAATTGTTGGCTTGCTGCAGAGATAAAGCCAGCCCCTGTCTCATCCCTCCTTTGTTCTCTGCTCCCTTTTCTGCCCCTCCTTCCCAGACCCCCAGGGAGATGTGTACGCTTTGCATGGTAACTGGTAGGGGGAGTGTAGGTTTCTAGGCAGCAGGAGGTGGGGAGCTGGGATCCACCCACCAGATAATTAGCCCCTTGGGCAACTGAGGGTGGAAGGCTTTCTCCTGCATGAGAGACTGCCTGTGCCTAGTGTCTACAAGACTGATGGTGTGGAATTTATGGGACAGGATACAGCACAGTCTCACATAAAATGTAAAAGAGGGAGAAAAAAGAATTAATTGGAAGCGAAGCAAGAAAAATCAATGCAATTTTTAAAAATTTCTCTTAACGAGCAGACCTACAGCCTAATCTCAGCACGTCGGCTGCTTCTGGAGCATCCTCCACACGGGCACTGCCCTGGGCAGTGGCAGCAGCAGCGGGAGCAGGGAGGGCTCTGGATGCTGCAAACCTGGCATGGTTTTCACTAAGTGACTTGTTCGAATTCTCACCTGGCTTCCGTCAGCCCTTTTCTAGCAGGTGGCAGACCTAACATCGGTCTCTTTTCTTTTTATATATTTGTATTGATTTCAGAGAGGGAGAGAGGGGAGAGAGATAGAAACATCAGTGATAAGAGAGAATCATTGCTCAGCTGCCTCTTGCACGCCCCACACTGGGGATCGAGCCCACAACCCAGGCATGTGCCCTGACCCGAAACAAACCATGACCTCCTGGTTTATGGGTCGACGCACAACCACTGAGCCACACAGGCTGGGCAACATCAGTCTCTTTTCTTTCCAGGACACCATTGAGGACAAGCTCGATACCAAGCACTACCCTTACATCTCTACCCGCTCCTCTGCCTCCTTCAGCACCACCGCCGTCAGGTGAGACGCCCCGAGCAGGCAGGCAGCAGCGAGGGGACTGGCCCTGGTGGCCTGTCAGCTGCACAGCAGTCCCGTTGTGATACAGCGTGGCCGTGAGCCCCTCCCGCTGTGCTCATCGCAGCCAGGTGCAGGCTGCCCTGACAGCGCCACCCGCCCACAAGGCCCTTCCTCTCAGTGCAGGAGGCCCTGGCCCAGGGAGGCATCTGTGCACATTTGCTATTCCTTTGGCTCTGCTGTTCCTGCTCACTGCCAGCAGAGTGCCCATTCACGGCTAGGAACGTATATCCCCGAGGGTAGACTCCTGGACGAACAGCACGCCGGAGGAGCTGTTGAACTTAGCATGTCAAACAGTAAAGCCGACCTGAACCTGGCTGCTGCCTACATGTTTCTAAGAGACTGACAGGTGGCAGCAGGGCGCTCGTAGCAGTTCTGCTCCCGGCCCCACTGAGGTTCATTCACAACACTCACTACGCAGCTTCTCTGTGTCACTGTGTACGGACGAACATGTAAACGTGTCACGCAGGTATGAAGTGCAGGTACTTGAGTGCGGGTGAACATTATTCATCTCTCCCCTGCCCCCTCAGCGCCCGCTACGGGCACTGGCATAAGAACAAGGCCCCGGGCGAGTACCGCAGTGGTCCCCGCCTCATCATCTTCATCCTGGGAGGCGTGAGCCTGAGCGAGATGCGCTGCGCCTACGAGGTGACCCAGGCCAACGGCAAGTGGGAAGTGCTGATAGGTGAGTGGGCCTGTTTCCCAGGGGGAGGGGGCTGCTTCTCCGCACTGGGCTCCATTCCATGCTTTGGTGTCTCATTCTGTCCTCGACTCCACTGCCCCTGCCAACCGTCATCTCTAGAGCTGTTCATGGTCGGCAAAAGCTAAGGGGCGAGGTTCCTTGTGTCTGCGTGTGGTGGGAGGGGCCTGACACAGACTCCAGCAGCCCAGGCCCACTTTCTGCTCTGCCCCTGCCTGTGGGTCGCCTGGGCATGCTCCCCACCTCTCCAGGCTGCCATCTTCTTATCCAACCAAACAGGCTAAGAACACCCACTTACAGCCCAAACTAGACCTAAGGTGGGACTTGTCCGTGTCCTGGCATTAGGCCTCCCACCAAGGTGCTCGGTAAAAAGAAGGTAAACTCTGACCCCCCTTACCTCTCCGTCAGAGGGACAGACCAGACACGCGTGTGAGCAGATACTGCCCGAGGCGTGCTGGCCTCTGCCCAGGGTTCCCCTCCGGCCCTACTACTTCCCGGTCTCTCACACCCTGTCTGCGATTTCCTGATGATTTTCCAGAAGAAAGGAAGCAACTCACAGGAGCTGACTTAATGCAGCGGGCGGTGTTTCTCCTTAACATGCGTGTAGGCACGCCCACAGTTCTAGGGTTGGAAGAGAAAGAGGGAGCTGAGAAAAATCTTGCTTTCTCTATGTTTTCCTCAGTCCCTCCTTTCCCTTAACAAAATGGAGTGGCACTTGCCCGGATGCCTCTTGACAGTAATTGGCAAGAGGCTATCAGCACATACTACCTGGCCGGGTCCTGCCCTCTCCCCTTACTCGACAAGACGAGTCAGCTTCGTGCCTCTCCTTTGGAGTGGCCAAGTCACGGTGCCCCCAGGCTCTCAGAGGAGCAGGTTCTACACACCAGTCACGTGGTGTCCCTGGTGTCTCAAGATGGACCCAGAAGCACCATTCAGTGGGGAGATTGGACATTCTTCCTCCCGTCCCCGCTCCCTGGAGCTCCCCTGTCTGGTCGCCATTTCTCCCTCTATTGTTCCTTCCCGTTCGTTACGTAAGCCCCCGCGATGAAGCTCTCTGCTCCCTGCTTGCATATGTGTTGCATGCGTGTGTTGGATAATTCTTAGCTCAAACACAGTTTTCCTGGGCAGAAGCTGTCAGAGCCGGGCTTGGGGGTAAATCTCCATCTTCAGCTTTGGCCCTGACCTGAGGTTCCCCATTGGGAGGTGGTATATTATAACCTGGGGAGATGAAGTGACCCACAGATTTTTGGAGGGGTCTCGCTCAGACAGCCGATGTCCGCTGTGTGGCCTCACCTGCTTTTGTGCATGCCAGCCATCCTCGCAGTGCGTGTGCCTGTGTGTGTGCCTGTGTGCGTGCGCGTGCGCGTGTGTCTTGCTTTCTCATCTCTCACTGGCTGCATAAAACGTAGGCCTAAGTTGGCATGTTCCTGTTCCGTACCTTTGTTCAAGCAGTCAGCTGGCCTCTGTTCTCCCGCAGGTTCTACTCACATTCTTACTCCCACCAAATTTCTCATGGACCTGAGACACCCCGACTTCAGGGAGTCCTCTAGGGTATCTTTTGAGGATCAGGCTCCAACAATGGAGTGAGAGCCAAAGAAACAAAGTAAAAGCAGCTTATCACAGAAAAGAAACTCTTCCTCTCTGAAGGGCTTTCTTTGATTATTCCGTCACTCTTTTTATTTTTTCTGTTTTTAGTTTATTATTTATTTGATTTTCCTTTAACAAGAAAATGCTTGCAGTTCTTAACACCGATTGAAAATGTGTCCGATGCTGCCTTCACCCACTGGCCACGGAGCCTCCGGGCTGGCCCACGGGCTCTCTCCTGCCCTGGGTCCCCTGCTGCTCAGCCCACAGCACAGCCCCCGGGGTTTTAACCTGAGAATGAGAATAATGCTGTGAGCAGCCCTCCAGAGGGGTTGAGGGATGCCAGAGGGTCGCCACACGCCTGGTGCTCAGGAATGCGTTTGTGGGCACCAGGAAGAGAGCACCTTGTCCAGGTTGGGGCGTGGGGTGGGAACCTGAGCACGAGGCCCGCAGGCTTCCCAGGGACACCCCTGGGTGCCCGGTTGTGGGGGAGGCTCTGCGGAGAGCGTCAGAGTGGACTCCGAGTCAGTGGTAGTGAGACATGTAAGTGCCGCTTTCCCGGACAGCACTTAGCCGGGGAACAAGGGGTCACAGGCCACCATGCACTTGGTGAGCTCCCGCAGCCATGGGAAGAGCTCCTGTCTCGTGTTCCTCTGGGGAAAGAGCACTTATTAGCCATTTGCTCTGTCAGTAACTGCTTTCATTTTAACCTCCTGTGATCCTTCCGAGAGTTGAGTAATCACCCTCCTCACCCACTGAAGCCTCTCGTGCTGAGAGCCTTTGGGTAGAAACCGCTCTCCCACCGCACTGCACCTGCTCTCAGTCACCCAGGAACCCGCTTCTGTTCGGTAGATAATCCAGATTTTATTCTTGTCCTCGTCCCCTCCTCTCTCCTTCCGTTCTCCCTACATGCTGGGAACCTCCTCTGATGCGTTTAAGTGGCAGACTGATCCGGAACTCCACTGGAACGTTACTCAGGCCTTAGCTTCGCTGCCCGTTCTGTGATGAGGCCACAGTTTGTGTACCTGGCTTCATAGACTCCATTGACATGGGCCCTGAAAATGTCCCCTCCCCCTGGGCTGAGCCGTGGCCCAGTGAGTCTTCAGAATGTGAGTCACCTTGAGCAGTGGGGAGGCCTGGACTCCGGGCCCAGCTCTGCCACGAGGACCTATGACTAGGTCATTCCCACTTCCTGGGCCACAGTGTATGGACCACAGGGAGGCTGGACCGTAGGGTCCCAAGGCTCCTCCTCAGATTGGTGACTCAAGCCATGCAGCCCTACCTATTCCCGGCTCCCTGTTGACCTCAGGGGAAAGCCATCAGCACCTTGGCTAGGAAACCTGGAAGGATGATATGAAGGTGAGAAATAGCAGGGGGCTGTGAGCCAGGACACTGGGGCTGGCTAAGGCCTGAGTACCTCCCATTCTGCCCAGGCTCCTTCCCAAGGGAAGCCAAACCTGTGGGCACTGAATAAACAGTCATTGTTTCAAAGCATTTTGGGAGGTGGGTAATCAGAATCAGAGCTTCTAATTCTGTGTGCAGGTGGCAGGTGGGTGGATGGCATTTACTGCAAGGTGTGTTTTTTGAATTGATTTTGAGACACAGAGAGAGAGAGATGGATTTGTTGCTCCACTTATGCATTCATCTGTTGCTCCACTTATGCATTCATCAGTTGATTCTTGTATGTGCCCTGACTGGGGGTAGAACCTGTACCCAGCCAGTGAAAGAAGGGTTTTGTCCCAGCAGACATCTGTGTCTGCCCACAGCGCTCAGCCTTTTGGATGACTCTGTTCTTGGAGACCCCATTCACATTTCTCAACCTTCCAGTTATGTAGACTAAGAGGGACCCTCAGAGCAGTGGGACCCGCTTGCTGTTCTAAAGGGCCTATGTGGTCAGCTACCTGTGAGTTCAAAGAGCACATTTGCAAATTGTGGTTTAAACCCACCCCACTCAATTAGCAATATTTGTGGTGGTGGAAAGCCTAACCAAGTATTAAAGCAATACAGATGATTGGGTGGCAAGAATGGGCACTCAGCTGCTCTGTGTCCTTTAAAGAGACCAGTGAGCGAGGGCCCAGCACCGTGCCTGGCACAGAGTCCTACAGGCCTCTCTAGTTGCCCGTACTCTTGGTCCTGGGTTTTCTTCTTTCAGTCAAAGACTGGGAACACCAGATGGTCAGTGATCAGATAATATCAGAAAATTCTAGAGCGTGATGGATTCCTTAACCTCTTTTTGGCCTCCCCCAAATCCTGAATTTGCAAGGAAGCAAGGGCAGGGGGAGCACTTTGGGACGGGCACCTGATCAGAGGTCCTCCTTTTGACTTTTCCTCTAGCTTGATCGGCCTCTGTACTTCCTGGAGTCAGTGGATGGCCTGGAGGGGTGTTAGGGATGGTTTTCTCTGGAACAAGTGTGCTGCTGTTGTCTCAACCTAGGATGCCCTTGAGCTAACCCTGCACCCAGAGCCCAGGGCTGTCTTTCAGGGTGTAGATACACAGTCCGTGTGTCGATTGAAATTGGAAAGCCCTCATTCTCACATCTGTTCACTGTTAGGAATTTGTAACATTTAAGTCCTGCTTCCCCATTTGTAGACAGTCTTTGACTTTCTTTGGGACTCATGGTAAGATGGGTAGAGTCACAGAAATGTGTACTCCGGGGGACATGCTGCTGAAGCCTCTGTCACGTGTGCAGAGGAGCCTCAGTGTGCAGGATAATGAGTCGGCTTTAGAGCTGGGGCCTGGGGCCTGCGGCCTGAGCATCACTCGGGACGATGGCAGTAGCTGCTCTGAGCAGTGACAGGTGCCTGGGACTTGCACTGCAGGGAATGGGGCGTCGGGAGGAACCCCTCACACCAGAGAAGGCTTTACGAGTTTGCTGCTGGTTTGACTGACCAGTAAGGTCCAAGGCCTGCAGCTCCAGCAGTCACGGGTCAGCTGAGCAAGTAGTGGTCAGAGGCACAGGGACCCTGGTGTGTGGGATCCTGCCCAGCAAGCCAGCCTGAGCCTTCTGTGCCTGCCCGCGCTCGGGGCGGGGATCTGGCATCCTGAGGTTTCTGCTCCCCTCGTCCCATGAAGGCCATGCCTGCACCCGCATCTCCAGGGAGGCACATTTTCAAGTACAGGTCTCTTTTGTTCGGTTCTTCTCTCCCACCAGGATCTTTCTTTGACGGCCACTGCTGCATGCGTGCAGGCCTCATGCTCACACACCAGCCACTTCTGTTCTGTTTGAGTATGTCCATGTCCAAACCACACGATCCATGCATCTTTTTTCACTGCACTTACTAGATCTCTCTCCTTATGAAAAGGACTTCATTTACTTTTATTTATTTATTATTTTGTGGTAGAAGTTATACCTAATTCCATTAGCTTAAATTTTTGCAAGCATTTCTAATCTCTTACAATGCACGGTCTCTATAAGGTAAGGCCTCAGGTCCCCGCCCTCTCCCTTTCACACCCGAGGTCCCGTCCACCACGGCAGTTCCAAGCATCTGCTCCCAGAGGTCAGTGGCTTCCCCCAGGGTGTTCTGCCCACCAGCTGCCTCCCTACCAGGCACCATTCTTTCCACACACAGGCCCCGCATAGCCCCCGCCCCATTCCCAACCTTTCCCTGCCATGTGGTTTGGAATTCCTCTCCCTGCTTCACCTTGAGTTTAAAATGCAGCTGCCTCATGTCCTGCAGATGGCGCTGAACCCTGAGGGGGAGGCCTGGGACCCTGCCTGAGCCAGAGGATTTTTTAAAAAAATATATTTTTATTGATTTCAGAGAGGAAGGGAGAGGGAGAGATTGAAACATCAATGATGAGAAAGACTCATTGATCGGCTGCCTCCTGCATGCCCCCCACTGGGGATCGAGCCCACCACCCAGGCATATGCCCTTGACTGGAATTGAACCCGTGACCCTTCAGTCCGCAGGCTGACGCTCTATCCACTGAGCCAAGCCAGCTAGGGCAACCAGAGGATGTTTTGTTTATCCCCAGTCCCCAAATGTCTCCCAGCCCCAAATGTGACTTGGCCCCAGAGCCCAATCCCCAACCCCCTCCCTACCTCCACTGACCACACCAGGGTGGGGCAGGGGGAATGGGTGCAGGTCTGGGAACCTCGAGGAGCAGGGAAGGAGGAAGCTTCCTGAACGAGAGCCGGCGAGCTCACTGTCTTCTCTGCCTCCCTCAGGATCCACGCAGATTCTCACCCCACAAAAACTGCTGGACACGCTGAAGAAACTGAATAAAACAGATGAAGAAATAAGCACTTAAAACAATAAGCTGCCCCTCCAAAAAGTGAACCCTCTTCCCCCCCGTGCTCCGCAGCCCTGCCGCTGCCCGCTGCCCGCAGTGGTTCCTTTGCTGACCCTCTGTCCCTCCCTGCCTCCCAGCTCTGCACGCCCTAGTCGGCGCTGTTGCCGCTGCGTTCTCGTGTTTAATGATGCCCTCTTCTCTTTGAAACAAAAGAAAATAATGCATTGTGTTTTTTTAAAAGACTGTCTTCTATATGTGCCCTGAGAGGAGAGGTTCGTGTGTAAGTGGCGCGCTGCTGGAGAAGTTCTGGGACTGTTCAGATGAATGGACACCTCCTCCCCATTCGTTATGATTCCGTGACCTTGTACATAACCTGGTGCAACACGTGCAGATTGCCTGAGTGTGGGAAGGCGGATGCTTGAGTGTTTTTAAGAACTTGTCTGGGTTGTTTCTGTTCTTATTGGGACTCAGATGTCTGTTCCGGGAGTATTTCAAACTGAGGCTCTGTCCACTCCGGTTCCCACGCCCCAGGGCCCGCTCTCATCAGGTAGGCTGGGCAGGGAGGCCCAGGTGGCATCTCGGAGGCTGGAGCTGGAACCCACCTCTTTGCTTTCCTCAGGGGCCCATATCCCCAGTGCTGTGGCTGTGGCTGTGGGTGGGGGCTGGTATTCAGCTTGTCACCAGCTTGTCACCGCGCCCTCCCTGGCTGCGTCCACAGCACTGTGACCCTGAGGGAAGTCGCTCTGTGGTCTAAGTCCAGTGAGGAGAAAGCTCCCCCTGGAGACCGTGGTCTCCTGGAGAAGGGGTTAGGCCTGATCTTTTGACCAGAGAAGCTCTTTCTTAGTGGAGTCAGCCTGGGAGAGCTCAGGGGTCAGGAAGGGACTAGAACAGAGTGGGCTCTGCAGGACGCTGTCAGAGGGCCTTCCCTGTAGAGAGGGCCCGTCCCCTAAGACGTCCAATGGCCGGGATCATAGCCCAAGGGATGTATACAGACCGTTGCCCACTCAGATGACCCTCAGTGGAAGATACTTCCTGATACTTTATTTTTTGTAATGCGGGGTCATATGTTGTTGTGCTTGTAGAGAAAATGATCATTTTATTCCCTGTATAAAAACCTAGCTGTATAAAACTTAGCTCTAATGCAAAACTTAAAGAAGCAAATGCAGGCAGGATGCCTCGTCATCCTCAAGACTCAGCAGTTCTCGTTCCTGGGAGTGAGCACACCGTTTGTTCTGCTGCTGTTGTCATGAAATATAATGACAGTGGAAGTCACAAAAATGTCCCCTGTCCAGCCCCCGCCACCCTTTACTCCTGCAGACCGCGTGTATATTCCTGTCTCGTGATGTCGTTGCAAACGTGGTGTGTGCTAGTTTAACTCGCCCGCTCTCCTTTCAGAACATGTTCCTCGCCCGCCCGGTAGATGCCTGTGGTGTCCGCTCCTCACGGCTTGGAAACCTCTCTCCCCTTTGCACTCAGATTAGTTTGCAGGTCTGTCTCCCCTCTCCCCTTAAGACACATTATTTCCTTAGGACAGAGCTGTAGGTACTTGCATTGGTTGGTTTCTTACTGTTACTGCTTGTTTTGTCCCCTCCCTGTGACCAATGCTCATGCTTCAGGACCTTGTTTGTTGAACATGTTGGTTTTCCTTTCTGTTATTTATAGAAACATAATTTATCAAAAGGATATTTTAAAAATCTAGTCTGTCTTGAAACTTGTTTACCTTGAAATTATCAGAATCTCAGTGTTTGAAAGTATTGAAGCACAAACATGTATCATCTCTGTACTGTTCTGTACTAAAGTACTTGAGTCTAATAAATGAATAATTCGGCGCCCATTCATGGTGTCCAAGGTGACTCTGGGCTGGTTTCACTGTGGGAAGTGGAAGGAAGGCTTCTGCAATGGTCCATGGCAGAGGAGTCCAGCCACCCCAACCACGGCTTGGAGTCTCCTGGATCCAGGTCTCCGTTACTTGCATTAAGATCTGTAGCTGTTGCACATTTGGGGACAATCCGTGAAGCTTGTCTTGGCCCCTAGCTGCAACAGCAAGCTACCTGTAGATGATATGGTCCTTCCATCGCCCTATTTCTCTGTGTCTAGAATGTCTCCAACTCAGAGCCTGCAGGCTGGAGGTCTCCGCCAGACCCTGCTCAGGTGCCTGTACAGCCATGTTGGTGTGACACCAGGCTTTTTTTCCTGGGAGGCAGAATGGCAGTGACTAGGAGCACAGACCTTGGCATCAAGCAGGTTTGGCTCAAATCCACATGACCTTGATGAGGAACTTTGTCCCCTCCTGTGAGTGATGCCTGTGGAAGAGTAATGCTGAGCTGAAGGATAATTTTGCTGGATATAGAATTCTTGGTTGACTGTTTTTTTTCTTTCAGCACTTTCTCATTCGACTGTGTGGAAACTTAGATTTTCTTTTTTTAATTAAAAAAAATTATTCATTTTAGAGAGGAAGGGAGAGGGAGATAGAGATAGAAACATCAATGGTGAGAGAGAATCATCAATTGGCTGCCTCCTGCACATCCCCAACTGGGGATTGAGCCCGCAACCCAGGCATGTGTCCTGACTGGGAATTGAACCATGACCTTCTGATTCATAGGTGGATGCTCAACCCTTGAGCCACACTAGTGGGCAGAATTTCTTAAATGAATGTTTTCCCATTTTCTGTACGCCCTTAGAACAATTTCCAGACACTTTAAATAATTGTTTCTTTTTTTTTAATGTTCAATTAACTTGTCTTGCTGAAGGGAAGGTGGATCGAGCTCCTTACTATGCTGTTCGGGAATCCCCTCCACGTGTGGTCTGACAGTAAGCAGATGTTTATGAGTGCCTACTGTGTGCCAACTTCCATCCTAGGCTCTAGGAATGCAGCCACAAACAAGGCAGACTGGGTCCTCATGAGCTCACACTAGTGGGCGGTAGTACTGTATCACACATACACACACACACACCCTGGATGAACAAATCTCTCTTATGTCATGTGTTCCATAGAAGTTGGCAAGATGTTAGGTATGTTTAATGATGCCTGCCCCCCGCCCCCCCTGCCGTCGCCATTGGTCCTAGGCTTCCTTCCCTCCAGAGCCTTCTAGAGGTGGCAGTGCCCCAGCCCACCGGCCACTGCCCTGGACTGATGCTGCCGCCTACACCTGCTCCTCTCAGAAGACCCAGATCACAAAGTCAGGAGGCTCTGGGCCCACCACCACCAGTCCCCAGTGTGGACACAGGTTAAGAAGCAGCAATGAGATGGTGTCACTGGGAAAGGTGATGACTAGAGACTCTCCAGGCAAACTCCAAAAAGGAGTATCCTTCAACCTGTAGCATTCCCTTCCCCACCCCCACCACCCAGAAGTCTGGCCAGAAAGTCCAGCTGGCCACTTGCTGTGTGACTGCAGCTGCTTTTACAAACCTGGCCCTGACCCCCAGGAGGAAGGACAGGCCCAAGAGCTGATACCTTCTGTGGGCTCTAGGCAGCCCATCAGCCTGGGGATTCAGAACTACCCCTGAGATGGGCCTCAGGTAAAAGGGCAGCAACCCGGGAGGCATGAGGAGGGAGAAGGCAGCTGGGGATTCAGGCACCATGGGATCCTCTGCCTGGGCGGGGCTCTGTGGGGGAGCCTCCCAGGTCAGTGATCCAGCAATCTCCAGCTGGGGGGATGGCCATGGCTTTAGGCTGGAGGGCCAGTCCCTCTGCTGGCCCCAAGTTTTGGGCACTGGGTCAGGCCTCTCCCCCCTCTGGGACCTGTATTGCCCTGTTTGCAGTCCAGGGCAGACAAACTCAAGCCCACCTTTAACCAACCACTGCTCCAACCTGCCTCATTGCCAAAAGTAAACACCCACCTCCCTGTTTCTGAACCTCCCTATCCCCTGGCACCCACCGCAAGGATCCAGCCACTCAAACCAACCCCCAAGGCTGCAGTAATAGAGCTTCACCTTGTTTAGCCTTCAGACTTCCAGGAGGGACTATGTCACCTCTTGCTAAGTGCCAAGCCCTAGGACAACAGGGAGGAAGAGGACTGCCCCTGTCTCAGGAGTGCCTGGGCCACAAGCACTGGGTGAATACCACAGGCCTACAGGCATGGTCTCCGGGAGAGGGGAGGAGATGGGGCATGAGGGGCCAGCCAGGGCATCAGCCAGCTGGACACCTACCGCGCCCTCTTCTCCCCCTCCCCCCAGCCCAGGATGCTGCCACCCAAGGCAAAGCTACGGAGTACACCTTTATTTGCCGGTATTTGCCGGGGACAAAGGGGCACTTTCCCCGAGCCGGGTGGAAACTGAGCCAGCCTCTGGACAGGGACAAAGGGGCACTTTCCCCGAGCCGGGTGGAAACTGAGCCAGCCTCTGGACAGGGACGTCCTGGGACCCCGTATGGGAGCCTCCTATATGAAACATCTATTTCTTTTTTAAATATATATTTTTTTATTGATTTCAGAAAGGAAGGGAGAGGGAGAGAGAGAAAAATCAATGATGAGAAAGAATCATTAATCAGCTGCCTCCTGTGCCCCACACCGGAGATCGAGGTCGATGCTCACGAAAATACCTATCCTTACCGTACCGCCTCCCCACCTGCTTTGGGTGAACCAAGAGGAGGATTCTGCCTTGTTGCTGCATCACCAAAGAATTAAGCCGGTCTCAGGCCTCAGGGGAGGGGTTTCTTGGCCTGGGGCCTGGTGACCAGCTTCTTCTGGTCCTGGGGAGCTCTGGGGCAGATGTCCCCTCTGACCAGCACCAAGGGCAGGGTAGTGACTTCGAGGGCTCAGAACCACTGTAATATTTCTACATCACTTATTGCCACCTGGGGGAGAAGGGGTCTCCCCAGAGCCCAAGAGTGCCCTGAGGGCCTGGCATCCTGGTCTGGAGACACCAGGGCCTGGGAAACCCCAACCTAGAGCCTCTATGGAGGTGCTGTCAGCCTTGGAGGTGGAGACCATTCGCCAGTGCCCGCCTTGCCCAAAATAGGACAGGGCCCCTTTAAGCCTTGTTTCATTCCTTCAGTTTGTTGCTATGTATGAGACCAACTTCCTTAGCAACCACCTGGTCTTTTAAAGGAGTCCTGAGGTAGCAGTGGCTACCAGCCATGGCTCCCAAAAAAAAGGCAAAGAAGGGGGCCAAGGAGCTCGAGACCAAGAAGAAAAGTGCCAAGAAGGAGCCCAACATGGCCATGGATATGGTTTTGGCCGAGGAGTTACGGCAGTTCTACCACATCCAGATCCGAGACCTGGAGGACAGGCTGGCCCGGTGGGTGGGCACCTAGAGGCTGGTCCTGCTGGGTCAGAAGCTCTGCCCAGAGCTGGCCACTGTGCAGGCTCAGCTGGGGATGGTTGTGTGTGTGTGTGTGTGTGTGTGTCTGTGTGTGTGTGTGTGTGTAACTCTTCCAAGACATGTTCACCTGGCCATTTTTCTTATTTTCAAACCAAGTTTCCTCCCAGTTAGGATGCACTGGCTCAGTCTCAGGGTCACCCTTAAAAGACCCTTTGGTGATGAGCAAGAACCCCACATGTTGCAGATACAGCTAACGTTGACTCCTTCATGTGTGCCAGGTGGGTCCTGTGCTGTGCTCACTGTGTCCCTGAGACAGAGCCAGGAGAGAGGTCTTCATGGCATCCCTATTGCACAGACGGAAGGTCTGAGGCTCAGGGAGGGGAAGCCACCTCAGGAGGAAGAGAGGGCAGAATGGGAGCTCTGGCCCCCTGACTTCCCCCCACCAGGCTGCTTCCTTGCTCCACAAAGCAGGTCATTCGGTTCTGCACCCTGCAGGGCCCTGTATGCAGTAGCCGTTCAAAAGATGTTGGTTGGGTTAATTATGAAGTAAAACATCTTTCCAAATAACTTCACCAATTATTCCCTAGGAAACCAATAGATCAATCATATGACACCTTAAAAATTCGCGAGCTTCCTTCAAGCTGAGACACTGGATCGAATGTATTTGGGGAAAATGCATTTGGGAGACAGTATTGGGTGCTTACTATTTGCTAAGCTCCTCTGCCAGGCCCCAAGAATATCATGGTGAAGGAGGTAAGAGGTCGGCCAGGTGGAGAAAACAGACACGTCAGGTCTTGACTGCCCAGTGAGACAAGGGCTAACCTACTAAAGGGCACCCCAGAGAGGGTCACAAATATGGCTCAGAGCCAAGGCTCCACTGAGGAGGTAGCTAACTCAGTGGATGAAGGTAAGGAAGATAGCAGGTGCAAAGGCTAGGGAGGGCACAGAGCTGGTCGACTTGGGCAGTTAAGTGTTGTAGTTGAGCCTTGACTTTGAGGTCAGATTGACTTGAGTTCAAGTTCTGGTTTTGCCACTTACTAGGAGTTTCTTTATCCCTCTGAGCCTCCGTTTTCTCATCTGTCAAATGGGTATAATCATCATAGTATCCACTTCCTTATGGGCTGTTGTGAGAATTCAGCAAATACACAGAGTACCTGCTATGTACCAGGCACAGTCCTAGGTGTTGGGGACACAGCAGTGAACACAAGAGAGAGAGGCTCTGCCCTCAGGGAACTTACATGCTAATGATGTGATGAAGGTAATGCACTGAGCAGACACTGGCTATGGTCATGAGTGCAGGTCAGGGGGAGATGAGGCTGGATTCTGACCATGAGGAACCTCAAATGCCCCTCTGTGAGAGGGTCTTGAGGAGGCTGGCCCAGTTGCAGAGGCCTGGCGTGTCCAGACCCCTGGAGCTCTGCCCCGCCCTCGCCTCAGGTACCAGCACAAGTGGGATGAGCTGGCCGTGCAGGAGAAGCTATTCCGCCAGGAGTATGAGCAGCTGGCCAGCAATAAGAAGGAGATTGTGGCCTTCCTCAAGCGGACGCTCAACCAGCGGGTAGATGAGATCGCCGACCTCAACGAGCAGCTCCAAAGCCTGCAGCTGGCCAAGGAGATGGAGAAGGACGCCTTTGAAGCCCAGTTAGCCCAGGTGCGCCATGAGTTCCAGGAGACCAAGGACCAGCTCACCACGGAGAACATCATCATTGGTGAGGGGGCCTGGGTGCACCTGCCATGGAGACAGGGAATCCCAGACTCTGGCTCTGTGGGCTCAAGTCCTAGCTCTACCGCTATCTCTATGGCCTCGGGCAAGCACTTCTCTCTGACCCTGCTTTCCCACCTGGGAAATGGGGATATGTCTACCTTGAATAACGACAGCGATGTGCTGCTTCCCACACATTCATTATCTTCCATAGTTAATGTCCCAGCAATCCTGTGAGGCAGGAAGTGCTGTCTCCCCATTTGTAGGTAAGGGAGCACCTTAAGAAGGTTAAGTGTCTTGGCCAAGGTCACCCAGGTGCCAAGGGTTGTTTTGAGGCTTAATGACAGCATGAATGCCTGGCCCAGAGAAGGTGTTCAAATGAGTGGTGGTTGTCACCATTGCCTTCATGAGACAGGAGTGGAGGAGAGTGTCAAGGACAGCTTCTCAGAGGTGAAACCTGAACGAGTCTTGATAAGATTAGTGGAGGGGAAGAGAGAGCTTTCCAGACTAAAGCAATAAAGGTGGGCAGGACTGGGTGTAGGGGTAAGGGTCTGGCCCTCCTGGATCAGGAACCATAAGGCAGGCAAGAGGAAGTGGGGAGGGAGGGGCATCACTCCAGGCCCGTGCTGCCCCTGGGACCTGCCCTCCCAGGCGGCCCCTCACCAGGCCTGTGCCCGGGGATGGGGCAGGGGGGAAGCTGGCAGCCCTGGAGGAGTTCCGGCAGCAGAAAGAGGAGCTTTCGGAGAAGTTCACATTGCTGGAGGACCAGCTGCAGAAGCAGGAGTATGAATACAAGGACTACATGTACAACCTGGAGAAGAAGTCGGTGCTGGACAGGGACAGGTGGGCAGGCCGGGTGCGGGAGCCTTCATGGGGTGGGGGGCAGGCGCAGCCCAGTCCTCAGACCTCTGTTTGCCTCACAGAATTCTGATTGGGGAGCCTGTGCTAGCTCATTGACTCCCCATCCTGAGCTCCCGGGATCCCGGCAGGGTTTTGGAGGGTGTGAGAAAGTAACCAAGCTCCCCAGCTCGTCCTCACACTGGCATCGGAGAATCCCTGAACTTCCTTTTGCCACGTTTTGTGACTTAAGTCATTATTTATTTCATAGCTAATCCACTGATTTGGTTCATAATTCAAGGTACAAAGGGTGCCACAGCAGGTTGGCTCAGTGGATAGAGCATCGGCCTGTGGACTGAAGGGTCCCAGGTTCAATTCCGGTCAAAGGCACATGCCTGGGTTGTGGGCTCAATTCCCAGTAGGGGTGTGCAGGAGGCATCCGATCAGTGATTCTCTCTCCTCATTGATGTTTCTCTCTTTCCCTCTCCCTTCCTCTCTGAAATCAATAAAAATATATATATATATATATATATTTTTTTAAAGGTACAAAGGGTCTACAGTGAGAAGCCTCCTGCCCACAGCCCACCCCTCCTGGAGGGACGAGCAGAGAGGTGGCCCTAGGCACTCTGGGCACCTCCACATAGGGAGGGGTGCCTGAGGTCTGTGCCCACTCTGCCTGACCCCCTTCATTCCCACCCATCCCGAGTAGAGTGAAGAAGGAAATCATTCAGCGTGTGAACCAGGTGGCCACTGACTTCCACAAGATGGCCACTAGCCAGATGTGGGACACAACGAAGCAGGCCATCCTGGAGAACAACACTGTGACCCTGCAGCTGTCCAGGGTCTCCCAGCATGGCGTGCAGCTGCTGCGGGAGAATGACCAGCTCAAGAGCAACCAAGACAAACTGTGCAAAGAGCTGGAGCTACTGCAGAACGCCAAGCAGGCCATGGCCAAGCACAACAGAAGCCACCAAAAGGTGTGCCTGCCAGGCCCTCATCACAGGGTGTTTGGCACCTAAAGCTGGAGGGAATCCTAGGGGCCCTGCCCTGAGGGCAAACACACACTTGGCAGGGGTGTACCTGGCCTGGAGCCAAGTCCGGAGGGAGCCAGCTGTGAGGGGACCAGCCCTACTTGTGGGGGCTCTAGGGTGCTGGCCCCAGCTCGTTTTTTTTCTTCTTAAATATATTTTTATTGATTTCAGAGAGGAAGGGAGAGGGAGAGAGAAACATCAATGATGAGAATCATTGATTGGCTGCCTCCTGCACGCCCCCTACTGGGGATCGAGCCGCAACTCGGGCATGTGCCCTTAACCCGAATAGAACCAGGGACCCTTCAGTCTGCAGGCCGATGCTCTATCCACTGAGCCAAACCGGCTAGGGCAGCTCATTTTTCTTGATTTGATTTAAAGCTCCTATAACTTGTTGAAGTGGAACCCACTCCCGGAGAGCTGGGGGCTCTGCTCAGCTGCTCTTCAGGGATGTGACCTCTCTGTGCAATGGGGTGAGCCCTGGCTGAGTCTAGAGCTGGGGGTGTGGGGCTGGCTAAGGACCCACAGTGGGTCTGGGGCATGGCCACCTGCTCGCACCCACAGATCATCCTCATGCTGACTGAGAAGTGCCACAAGCAGCAGGAGGGCAGAGTGCAGGCTGATCGGCTGCGCTTCCTGCGGAGCGAACTGGAGCAGAAAGTCCTGCAGCTGCAGAAGGAGAAGGAGGCACTGAGGTGGGGCCCGCAGTGGGCGGACGGTGGGAGTAGGCAGGAGCCCGGCTCCTTATGGCCACTGACGCAGGCCAGTGACTTCCTCTCTCTAGAAGGGCCTCGAGGCTTCCTGTCAAACAGCCTGAGGCCCGGGGCTGGATGAGGGACCCTGTGGGCTAACGAGCAATGGCAGGGCCCAACACCCTGGAGTAGGGAGGTGGCTGACTCATCGGGTCCCACGGCCAGGAGCCAGAAAGTCCAGCTGAACCAGCAGCTGGAGCATCAGCACATCGAGGCGAAGCGGCTGCGGCAGGAGCTGGCCAAAGAGCAGAAGGTGCGGGCAAGCCTGGAGATGACCCTGGTTCACACCACCAACTTCCTACAGAACATTCTGCAGGTGACCAACAAGTGGGTGAAAGTGGGGGGGAGGGGGTCGGCCCAGAGGTAACTGGGCCCTCGGAGAAAGCCAAGCCAGGGCCAGACGCCCCAACTTTTCCCTGAGAGACTCCTGGCAAGTCTGCCCTTTTCTGAGTCTGCAATTCAAAGATCCCCTCAAGGTCGTGAAGAAACTGGATGGAGTCCTTCTCTGAGGCCCTGGAAGGCCTTGGGCCTCAGTCTTCCCATTTGGAGAATGGGTATCCCACCACAGCCAGGGAACACTTTTTAAAACAGGCACTGGGGTTGGAGTTTCCCAGAGGTGGGTGTTGGGCCACTATGGACCTGGTCCCCATGGGCCCACCCCAACTCCTACCAGAACCTGCAACCAGAGGAAGAGGACGGCAACTATGAGATAGTGTTCCAGCTGCACTGCAAGGAGATCCTGAGGCAGCTGCTGGCCATGCTCAGCTCGGCCGTGGTCCTAAGCCCCCCGATGATTGTGGGTCCCCACCAACATCATGGCCACCCGGACAGGTGAGTGACCTTGTGTGACCTCAGAAGCAGCAGCTATAGGACTTGCCAAGGGCTGTCTCAGAGACCCTGGGCCAGAATTTGGGCTCCCCAAAGCCTTTCTGAACCTCAGCCTCCTCATCTCTGAAATGGAGGTGATGACACCACCCCCCTCCCCGCAGCCAGTCCAGCATCTCGCCACCCAAGACTGGGTCAATGCTCCAACGGCTGTCCGACCTCCCGACCTCCCAGCTGGCAGACCTGGGCCTGGTGCCTCGACAGGTCCGCCTCTCACCCAACCCTGAGGACCTCAGGCTGCTCTCACACTTCACTCGTATGAGATCATTCCAGGCACTCAGCAGCACTGAGGTGAGAGTGCCTGGGACCTCGATGACAGCCAGCCCTGGGTGCGATCATGGCTCAGTCACACTGCAGCTGTGTGGCCTTGGGGATGTGGCCAGACTTCTCTAAGCCTCCATTTCCCCTTCTGTGAAATGGGCTGAAGAAAGGTGTGACAAGGTCTCAGTGGCCGAAGGCATGCCCACACAGCCCCTGGGAGGGGGGCTTGCTGGGTCCCTCCTCCACAGGCAGGAGGAGGGTAGGAACCCCCGGAGGAAGTTTCAGCTTCCGAGCAGGCATCTTTAATCTTACAGATCCAAACCTTGGAGTCTTCAAAAAAGATAAAAAAGTTTAGTCTTCCTGAAGTTTCCCTGTTTTCCAAGTAAGACACAGAGAGACGACCAACCCTCATCCCCAAAATGGACCAATCCAGCCACAGTCCCTTTTAATCCCAGGAGCCTGGAGTAGTCCAGAGAAGAGTTCTATAAAAAGTGGCTACCACAGGTTGGCGTGGCACCTCTGTGGACGTGGCTGGGTATCTGGGCATGGCAGGTGAGCAGGCCGCTGTGGCCACTGGTGTCAGGTGCCTGACAAGGGCCCCTGGCTCCGCTCACGGATGTGGTCCAGGAGCAGGTCTGTGGCCCGCTCCAGCACTGGAAGCAGCAGTTCCTGCTCCGATGGGGAGAAGCAGCCCAGCACGTGTGCCTGCACGGCGTCCGGGTGCGTCGGGCGCCCGATGCCCACTCGCAGCCGTGGCATTGCCTGTGGAGGAGCGGAGGGGCCCGGGCAGCTTTGGTGAGGAGTGCTGGGCCCCATGCCGAACCACCCGACCCAGAGCAGCACCAAGGGGGCGGACTCACGTTGGAGTTGAGGCAGCAAATGCAGGAACGAACTCCATTATGGCCCCTTCGAGGGATAGGAGAGGGGCAGTCAGTGCTTCCCTGGGTCAGCCCCCTTCCCTCTCCCAACTCAGCTGGGGTCAGCACCCCCACCCCACTCCAAATGGGAGGCCAACTTCCTGTCCCACCTGGCGCTTCCGCCCAGCTTCAGAGCCAGCTTCCCCAGGGGCTTGTCCAGGTCGTCGTGCACCAGGTAGACCTCCTCGGCAGTCAGGCCCAACAGCTCCGCTTGGCACAGGGAAACGGTGGCCCCGTTACCGCTGATCTGCCCGGGGGCGTTTCCCACCTCCCACCTCCCACCTCCCGTGAGAGGCCACAGTTTAAAGAAACGGAGGCTCCCACAGTCCCCAGAGGCCAGGCGGCAACTGGAACTCGGAGGGGAACCGTGGCCGCAGCCCCGAGTCCCCTCTGGCCCCTCCGCCCTCCAGGCCGGCTCCCTCGGTGCCCTCCACTCACCGGCCCGGGCCACGCTGCGCCCGTTGGCATTCATGAGCCGCCGCGGCCGAAGCAGGACCAGCTGGGCATCCCCGAGCGCGGCCAGGGCGAGGTCGGCGGCGCAGCGGCGGTCGCGGGCCCAGCTCTCCGCCACGCCCAGCCGCCGCGCCAGCTGCCCCAGCACCGCCAGCCCCACGCTGTGCCGCGTGCCGGGCAGCCTGGGGTTCCCCAGGCCGGCCACCTGCGGGCGGCACCAGAGACACTGAGGCCGACAGCTCCCGACACCCTCCATCTCACAGTGCCCCCTGGAACCCGAAGCAGGAGGGTAACGCCAAGCAGGAGCGGAGTGGGGACGGGGCGCGAACGGGGGGCCCGGAGACCCCGGAGCCTCCAGAAGGCTGGGCGAGCCGGACCGGCAGGGCGCGAGGCGCCGGGCGGAGTTCCTGGGAGTTTGGAGCCCGTCGGAGTATCGGACCCATTTCTAGATTTAAAACAACTGAGGCAAAGAATCCGGGGACTTTGTCGGGGAGACAGCGGCAAAACTGGAGCTCGGTCCCGGGAGCCCCACGTCGCCCCCCCTAACTCCACTCACCAGCCACCGCTTCCCCGGGGGCCGGGGTTCCAGAACGCACCCGCTCATGGTCCGACTCGGCAGCAGCCCCGCCCGGCAGAGGCCCGGCGGCGGGCGGCGCGCTTCCCACCCCGAAACAGCCCCGCCCCTGACGTCACCACCCCGCGGCCAATCGTGGTCGCCATCTGCCGCCAGCGTCCAATCCAGGGCGGGCCACGGGGTCGCCACGCTCCTGAGGGGCGGAAGTGGCGGGGCAGTGGCCGCTCGGGGCGCCCCGGCGCCTCCCGCGGGCCGGCGTCACCGCGTCCGGCTGGGGGCGTGGTGGGCCTCGCGGAGCCCTTGCTTGGCCTCCGGATCGGAGAAGGGAGCTTCGTTCTGCCCCCGCTGTGGTCCCGCCTCGCGGTCGTCTCAGCCTCCCCCGCTAATAAAAGTTTGTTGCTCTTTTTCTGGCTCAAACCGCCCTTGGAATCTGGAGGCGTGGCCAGAGGGCGGAGCCTGTGGGCGTCGTGGAGCTGGTGCCTAGCAACGTCGAGGGAGGGCATAGAGGGAGCCAGCTCAGTTCCACAGGTCACCCAGGGCGGGACCTCATGACCGACTCCAAGCAGGTGCGGGAGAAGGCTACCGCCAGGGCAGAGGGTCGGGAGAGAAATGACCAAGGCTGAGTTCGCAGGAAAGAGGACGGGGGAGGCAGGATCAGTTGTGCAGGTCAAGAAAGTGCCAGGTCGCAGTGCGGGGAACAGGAGTTGGGACGTGTGGCCGGTGGGAAGGTCCGAGGGGTGGCCGATGCTGGCGTCCTGGCCGCGATGGCATGGGCCCGGAGGAGAGGGCGAGAGAAGAGGAGGGAACTAAGAGGTCGTGAGGAAGTGGGACAGACAGGACTTGAGGACTGATGATGGGACATAGGTCTCTGGCTTCAGAGAAGGTGGACTTCCCGAGGCGGCAGAGCTAGAGCAGAAGTCAGGTGCAGTGCTCAGTTGGTCCTGCTGGGCACGAGGATCACACAGGATATGCAAGGAGCTGCAGGCCGGCGGGGGGTGGGGGGGTGGGGCCTGAGCTGGAGGCATTAGAGTTTTGGGTGTGGCTGGAGGTGAGTGCTGAGGGGTACCAGGAGGAGAGCTGAGGACAGTGTGAGTATGAGAATCCTAAACCCTGGCCTTGACCACAGGAAAGGGAGAGGCAGGACTGGAGAGAGAGGTTATGGTTCTCAACCTTCTGGCCCTTTAAATACAGTTCTTCATGTTGTGACCCAACCATAAAATTATTTTCGTTGCTACTTCATAACTGTAATGTTGCTACTGTTGTGAATCGTAATGTAAATATCTGATATGCAGGATGGTCTTAGGCGACCCCTGTGAAAGGCTCGTTCAACCACCAAAGGGGTCGCGACCCACAGGTTGAGAACCTCTGGGTTAGAACATCCCTCAGAGGAATGGGGCTGGGGTGCCACCAGACCTCAGGCTGTGCCTCCTACCAGGCCTCATTCCCACCTCTCCTCCTTCCTGTAAAATACCTGATAAGCCTGTATAAGTGGAGTGGGGGTCATCTGCGAGGCCTGCTCCAGCTTGCTGTCCATTGGTTCTAGGATTCGCCAGAGCCAAAGCCATGGGCGACTCCACTCCCAAAGGAGACCATAAAGCGCATCTTCGGGACCAGCCAGGCGTTCCGAGGCTTTGATGAAATAAAACCAACACTCTCTGAAATAACAGTTCCTCTCAAAGTCAGGGAGTAGTGAGTGACTATCTTGTCCCAAGGTCCCTGGTTTCTATTCTGCACAGTAATTGACATGCTGTGCAGCTTTGGGCCAGTTACTCTCCCTCCCTGGGCTCCAGTGAACTCAACTGTGTAATAGGGCTCATCTGCCTCAGTGAGTCAAAGGCTGCTACTGGCCTGGATGAGCTCCAGGAATCTCTGTCTACTCTTCTGTTCTCTCCACCCAAGTGCCTCCCACCCACTTGCACAGTCCCAGCTGTATGCCCTTGGGCTAGTCCAAGTCAGGGCCACCTCTCTGCCTGTGCCCCTTGCCCCCACAGCTACCACCGAGGCCACTGGTGCTTGGAGCGAGAAGACTGGGAAACAGCTGTGGTGTTCTTCTCCCGTGCCATCCACCTGGACCCCCAGCTGGTGAGGGGGAGGGTTTGGGGGGACCCACCCAGTCTGTAGCACACACTTCCCCCTCACTGTCATGCCTTCCAGGTCCCTGGTCTCAGGGCCACCAAGTCCCTGCTGGTAACTCAGTCCCCTCTCCCTCAGGTCGAGTTCTACGCCTTAAGAGCCGAAGCCTACATCCAGCTCTGCGACTACTCCTCGGCTGTCCAGAACCTGCGGAGGGCCCACTCCTTCCAGCCGGAGAACACCCAGTTCCTGAAGCGCCTCACCTTGGTGCTTTACCTGCAGGTGCTGGGGCCGCCCAGGCCCACGCCAGGCGCACACCTCACACCCAGGCCCCTGGGCCTCCCCCCAGCTCTGGGGGCTCTCCTTGTTCCTGGGACTAGTTCTGACTTCCCGGGGAGTTCCTTGGCCCTGTGTCTGTTCCCCACCTGCTGCCCCTCTCATGACCTCTCCCACCTCCCAAGTGGGCTTACCACTAGGGCTGGTCAAGTTTAGTAACGTCGTCCAATAGAACTTTCTGCAATAATGACAATGACCTGCTCGGCACTGTACAATCTGGTAGCCATTGGCCACGGGGAACTGTTGAGCCCTCGACTTGTGGCAATTGTGACTGAGAAACTAGTTTTTAAGTTGTGTTTCTTTTAAATTAAATTCATATAGCCACATGAAGCTGGTGGCTATAGTACTGGACAGTACAGACGTAGAATCTAGAAACTCTAAGCACTTAAAAGGGAATACCAGCCCCATTTGCATTTAAAAAAAAAACACACCAATATTAAACCATAAATACCAACAAAGTCTTATTTTTTTCCATTTTGACAACTTCAATATCTTTTAAGTACTTATTCAATTCTTGAAACAGCTGGGATATCCAAACCACATACTTAATCTGTCTGTTAGGGTCCCGAGTCTAGTACTAACACTTCCTGTGCCACCTTGGGGAAGTCACTTCACCTCTCTGAGCCTCCGTTCTTTCATCTGAAAGGGGGATGCTAGTACCAGTGAGACTGTAAGTTCAGGTTCTTAACACAGGGCCCGGCACCTGGAGCCCTGGGCCAGGCTGGAGCCTGCTACTGTTGGCTCTGCTGTTCTGGCTCACCTCCCATGCTTTCTCTGTGTCTCTTTGTTCCTGTGTCTCTGTAGTGCTGGCTCTCTCCCTAGCTCTGTATCTCTTTCCATCTCTGTGTCTCTGACTCTTAAAGGCTCTCCAGATCTAGAGCTCTGAGCCTCTCTCTTCTCTCTTCTCTCCCACCCCAACGTTGCCCACCCCTCTCATGAGTGCTGCTGGGCTGGGGATGCACGCAGCAGGGACTGTCCCTCGCGTCCTCAGGGCCAGTGCCTGTTTGAACAGTGTGCTTTTGCGGATGCCCTGAATGTCTTCTCGCAAGCCTTCGAGCTCCAGCCCAAGAAACCCAGCTTCCGTTACCGATGGTGAGTGGCCCATTTGTGTCCTTGCCAGCCCTGGTTCTCCAGTAGCCCCTTCCTGGGCCTCTAGCACAGCGATTTTCAGCCGGTGTGCCGCAAGAATCTTTAAAACATGCAATACCTGAGTATTTAGTCAGGAGCACTGACCTCTTTTCCCTTAGGTTGTCAAATTTAAAAAATGACAACAGCCAACACAAAAATAGCCTTCCAGCCTGGCTGGCATGGCTCAGTGGTTGAGTGTCAACCTATGAACCAGGAGGTCACGGTTGGATTCCAGGTCAGGGCACATGCCTGGGTTGCAGGCTTCATCCCCAGTATGGGGTGTGCAGGAGGCAGCCAATCAATAATTCTCTCTCCTCATTGATGTTTCTATCTCCCTCTCCCTTCCTCTCTGAAATAAAAAACAAAAATATATTAAAAATAAAATAATAGCCTTCCAGTGAGAACAAATCAAAATATATTCGGTGTGCTGCAGAGTTTTGGTCATTAGTTTATGTGTGCCATGAGCTGGAAAGGGTTGAAAATCGCTTCTCTGGTAGACAGCACCTCTGCCCTTTGTCCTCAGCATGGCCTGTCTCCTGGCCCTCAGACGATATCAGGACTGCCTCTCACTTGTCACCAAGGAGGTGGAGTATGGCACAACCAACGCTGACATCTACATCCTCCGAGCCAGGCTCTATAACTCCATGGGGAAGGTAAAGTAGGGAGGGTGGGGAGGGGGTGGCCCTTCCCCCAGCACATCCCAAGATTATAGGAGGCTGCCAGCAGCCAGCAGCCACATCCCCTCCGTGCAGAGAGGATACTGTCCTCTCTGGGCAGATGCCCAGTCAAGTACTGTACATTGTTACTAAGCCCTGGCTCCGTGCCAGGCCTGGATTGGCCCCCGGAAACCACAAGATAAGAGACTTATGCCATCACTGCCATCACAGAACTCACAGCCCAGAGAGACATCCCTAAGCAGATAATTAGGTGAAGAATGACTTCGTGAGTCTATGAAACCATCAGAGATCCACTAGATAAAGAGGCCCTTCCTCCTTCCTTCCTTCCTTTCCTTATTTGTCTCAGTAAACATTTTCTAAGCACCCCAGCTGCTGCACTCCACAGGCTGGGCATGGGGACAGACAGTACAGGGGACAACTTAGGGGCCAGGGAGATGAGTCACAAGGGAGGAGGGGAATTTAGGTATGTGAGGGTATCAGGCAGGGCCTTGTGAACTCAGGACGACCTTGACTTCTTTTGGGGGACAATAGGAACCTCAAAAGGGTGTTCCCTGGGGCAGTGGGCTTTAGAAAGATCCTTCTGGCTGCCAGAGGGAGTGTGGGCTGCAGGGGGCAAGTCTGGAGACCAGGGGCCTGGAGAAGAGGCTAGGTGCCATCCAGCAGAAGAGAAGGGGGCCAGGGGAAGGATGGGCAAGTAGGCAGCAGTTCCACCATCCTTGGAAGTCAGGACCAGAGACTGGGGGAGTGCAAGAGGGAAGGAAGGATCCAGAACAATGGCGGGTGTTCTGGCTTGGCCTGGTGCCTGGGAGCTGGGACACTCAGGAGGGGAAGGAATCGGGGTGGGTGGGGCATCCGGGGGTGGGAATGTGAGCCTCCCTGTACTGAGGCTTCTGTGATCAACAGTGAGTCAGTGGGAGAGTCTCCTTCAAAGGTGGGAGACTAGTAATTATTGATAATGATTGTTGACTGTTGGGATTTTAGCCGCTCCCACCACTTTAGCCTCACAATGCACATGCTAAGCACTTCACTCATTTTTATCTTCTTTAAAAATTGATTTGAGAGAGAGAGAGAGATTTGTTGTTCCACTTATTTGTGTATTCATTGGTTGTTTCTTGTATGTGCCCTGACTGGGGATCAAACCCACAAGCTTGGCATATCGGGACTATGCTCTAACCAACTGAGCTACCCCGCCAGTACCTACTCATGTTTATCTTAAAGGCTCACAATAACTGTTTCAGTAGATGCAACCCCCTTGTCCTCTTTTTACCGGTGAAGATACAGGCCCAGAGGGGCTGGGTGACTTGCTCAGGGTCACACAGCCAGTTCTCAGGAGCTATGCCCTTGAACCCAAGTCGGCCTACTTGGAAGTCCTTCCCATCTTTCCCTTCTCAACTTCCTGGTGTCCACTGTTTGCTCTGCTCACCCTTCCACCAATTACCTATAGGACATGGGGTGCTTGCCAAGACTGTGTTGACTGACTGACAGACATGCTCATCCGGTAGAAGGTATTTGCCTGGGAATGTTTTCTGCTCATGCCCAGGCCTGAATCTGTTCTTGGCCAGAGTTATGTTGGGCTTAAAGGTCAAGGGAGCCAGGGAGGAAAGGATAAGAAGGCACAAGAGTCACAATCAGGAGGCCACACCCTCCTCCCACCTCAAGTGAGTTTCACAGAAGTCCTCCAAGGAGGCTGTCCTCCAAATCCCCTTCCATGGCAGAAACCAGCAAGGGCGACCCTCGCTCACCTGAGGTCACATCTGGAGGGGCCAGTAGGGATGAGATTTTCCCACAAGGTTCCCTGCCTCCTTCAAGAGGCGGAACAGATAGAACAGCAAAGCGGGGGCACTGAGGATGGGTGGCATGGTGCCAGCCTACCCTGAGAAAGGCCCCTATAGCCAGGAGGTCGGCCTCCCCCCACTGGACAGGGTAAAGCTCAGCTTGGCTGTGCCCCTGATGCTACCCCTGGCCCCTGCAGCCCCACCTCTGCTATCAAGACCTGCACAGCGCCTTGGTATTGGATCCCAAGCACACACAGGCAAAGGTGCTGCTCAAGATGATGGTAGAGAAGTCCCAGAAGTCATTCCGAGATGCCAGGATCCTAGCCGTGCAGGGCAAGCTGCAGCATGCAGTGCAGTGTGTGAACAGTGCCATCGACAACAACCCTCTGGACCCCAGCTTCTTCCTCTTCAGGTACTGGGTGGGGAGGTGCCAGGATAAGGTCCAGCTGTGTGGTCCCAGGAGAGCTCTTGAATCGATGTAGGCCTCAGTTCCCCATCTAACTGATACTAACCTTTCCCTACTCCCCATTGGGATCAAGGCAGCATGGGAGGTGGTCTCCGCAGGCAGCAGCCTCAGTTAAGCAGGGATCCTGGACCCCCAGGCCTGCGGAGCAGGTCATGCTGGGAGAATCAGCCTGGCTCAGTGGACAAGGCTTGGGTGTGAATCTGACCCCAACAAGGACTCACCACAGGATTCAGGACCATTTAACTTCCTTGAGCCCCGGTCTTCCCACATGAGCAGTGGAGGTGAAACACCTGTGCATGTACAGCCTTAGCATAGAGGCTGGCGTGCCCTTGGCTCCCAAAAAGAGAGAGGGAAGCTGCTTTTGAGAAAAAAATGACTAGTGACTAGCAGGTTACCTGAGTAGCAATCCATGACCCACAGGCCAAACCTCCTGAGGGCTGGGGGAGCTGCCAGCACCACCACCACGGGTCAGAAGGCCCGGAGCAGCAGCGGCTTGCCCAGCCACAGGCACCCCGTCAGCGCCCTGCTCTGGCCCTCATGTCCCTTCCCCACAGGGGCACCATGTACCGCCGGCTCCGGGATTTTGATGCGGCGGTGGAGGACTTCCTGAAGGCGCTGGACATGATGAGCGAGCACCAGGAGGACATGGTGCGGCAGGCGCAGCGCCAGCTCCTGCTGGCCTACAACGACTTCGCCCTGCACTGCTACATGCAGGGCGCCTACCAGGAGGGCGTGCTGCTGCTCAACAAGGTCCTCAAGGACGAGCAGGGCGAGAAAGGCCTCTACATCAACCGCGGCGGTGAGGGGGCAGCGGGTGGGCGCCTGAGGCCCCCCAGGGAGGGAGGGAGGAAGAAGGGAAAGAGGAAACGGTTAAGAGTCTCAGTGTCCCACGGACACACGTGGGGAAACATTGCCTTCAAGAAACTGGCTACAGCCTACGGCCTACTCAGAAATCAGGCCGCTGGAGAGGTGGACCAGCCCCCAGTTTCAGGCCCCGCCCTCTGGGGGGTGGAGAAGGCTGAGCTAGGCTCCTGGACCCGGGGGTGGGGGGCCCCAGATTGCTTCTTCCAGTTGGGCTACCTGAACTTTGCTGAGGCGGACTACCAGGAGGCGCTGACGCTGAGCCCGTCGGACGAGGGCGCCAACCTGCGCATGAGCCTGCTGCAGGAGAAGATGGGCTGCTGCGAGCACAAGAGCAAGTGCGCCGGGGCTGGGGGCGGGGCTGCGGCGGGGCCAGGGGCAGGAAGCCACCAGCTGGGATCCTCGGGTCAAAAAGTTCTCCCAGTCATGTCCCCTAAATATAGGTTTTAATGTCCAAGTTTTTGCAAAAAATCCTTCACTGTTTTCTAAATATTATGGTAATTGTGCTTTTTATAAAAAACTTAAGGGTTTGATGATAACTCAGAACATGGAAGTTCCTTATAATATCTACCTCCCAGTGCCTCCCCACCCCCATAAGTTTGGTCAAGATTCCTCCAGATTGTTTCCTATGCATGCATTAACAGTTATTATCATTTTACAGAAGTGTTTTCATGCTAAATTGTGCTTTTTTACTTCCCATGGCATTACTATGGGACCATCTCATTCTCTTGCTCCTGCTTGCCTAGGGCTCCATTCTGTGGAGGAACCATAGAGGGCTGCCTTTTATTCATTTAGCTACTACACTGCTGCTGAACGTTTGGGCTGCTTTCAGTTTTTTTTACTATAAATAATGCAGTAATGAGCACCACACATATGTTTTCATGCACTCATACCAGGAACACTATAGTTAGATTGCTGGAAGTTAAATTGTTCGATAAAAGAGTGTGAAAATTTAGCATTTTAAATAATGTCCAAATGTTTTCCAAAAACAGTGAACTAATATAAACTTTTCTCCCAGGAAAAGAGTCTTGGTTTCCCAGACCTCCCTAGTGTGAGGTAGTAAGACTATTTTCAACTCTGCGAACCTAATAGGCAAAAAAACAACAAACTCTTTTGCACTTGATCTTGCATGTTTAAGTCGCTAGCGCAGTTGTGTAGCATCTTCTATATGTTTATTGGTTGTTATGGCCTGCCCAAATCTTTTGCCCATTTACCTACTAAATTGCTCATTTAAAAATTTTTTTGTTAAAGGGTTCTTTGTGCCAATAAATTAAATTTTAAAAAAAATTTAAAAAGAGTTTTTGTGTAGGTTAGGAAAATTAGCTTATCATCTGCCTTATGTAGCAAAATATATATGCTATTTATTGCTTTCCTTTGTGGTGGTCGTGGTGTGTGTGTGTGTGCGCGCGCGCGCTTAATTTATTGATTTGAGAGAGTAACATTGATTTGTTGTCCCACTCATTTATGCATTCATTGGTTGATTCTTGTATGTGCCCTGATCAGGGATTGAACCAGCAATCTTGACATAACAAGATGATGCGCTAACCAACTGAGCTACCCAGCCAGGACTTCTTTGTGGTGTTTTTGCTACTCAGTAACTTAGGATTTAATCACAGTCAAATTAATTTTTTTTTACTTTTAGCTGCTGGGTGTATGACATTCTTCCCTAATCTAAGATAAACTAAGAAAGGACTTCCCTAATCTAAGATAAAAAGAGTGTCTACTTATGTTGGGGTTGTATACTAGCATTTGAGTGTTGGGTCCATCAAGAGCGTAGCTGGTAGAAGGAGAGTGGTGGGGCAAGGTGGCGGGGAGCAGATACCAGCCTGGTTTTCCCCACACTCCTCCGTGGGGCCGGAAGCTGCTATTTCCCACCTAGGAGGCTTCGCTCACTGCAGCCTGTGGCTGCTATTTTGTAGACAATTCCAGAAGGCAGAGAGCCACTTCACACTGGCCATCCAGCACAATCCCCAGATGGCTCAGTACTACCTGCACCGCGCCAGAAGCCGGCAGTTCATACAGAACATTTTTGGGGCCCGCCAGGACGTTGCAACTGCCCTGATCCTCGACCCTAAGCAACCGAAGGTGGGTTCCTCCTGGTGGCCAGGAGGGCGTCTGCAGAGTCCATACTCCTGGCCTCCTAACGATACTCCCTGCCCTGAAAAGAAATGTGGTTTCCTAGCAACTAGTATAAGCTGCTAATGCCAGAGCATTTACTGTGTGCCAGGCACTGTTCCAACCTCTTCAGCTCGCATCACTCTAACCCTCTTCAGCCCCTAGGAGACAGGTAACGTTATCACCTGCCAACTTATAGACCAAGAGGGTAAGGCTCAGAGAAGCCAGTCCTCTTGTCCTAGGTCACACAGCTTAGAGCTTAGACCCTGATCTGTCTGGCTCCAGAGCCCACGGCTAGACGCACCCCGTCAGTGTTTCCTCTCTGAATAGTTCCTTTTTCATGGTCTCCTCGCAGTTCTGGGGCAAAACAGCCCTTTAAAGACAACAATTTGTAAATTCTCCCCTCTTCAGCCCTGCAAAGGGACTTTGCAAGGGCAGGGCAGCATCATACCACCGGCCCCTGCCCTGGCCCACATCTCGCTCTGGTCACCCCTTTCCTGCAGCTGCTCTCGCTGATAACCATCCTCTTCCCGGGCATGTCAATGGAGGAGGTGCTTGGCAGCCACGTGGGCCTCCTGGCCAAGATGCAGCTGAGTCGCGTGATAGAGAGCAGGAGGAAGGATAACATCTCTCAAGGCATCATGGGGTAAGCTCCTCGAGCAGGAGCCACAGGCCAGGAGTGGGAATGGTTGGGCTCAAGCCTCCTCTGGCCCTGGCTGCCTCCTCAAGCCATTGTCCAGTCCTGGGGATGGTGGGTGGGGCAGGGAGACTTACCCCGTGCTCTGGGGCCCTGGCTGGGCAGGAAGCTCTATAAGCAAGAACTGGAGCGCCAGAAGGCCCGGACCCTGCAGCTTTCGTGGAAGGAACAACAGGTTTTGCGGGAGACAAAACCTCAGAAGCTGGACTCCAAATCCCGGATCCCGCAGGAAGGGCCAGAACACCCAGAAGAGGCCATGGACGCTGAGAAGAAGGTGAGTAGGCCAACAAGCAGGACCTGGAGGCTTTGAGGTCTGGTGAAGTGCACGCAGGCCTGGCTCTGCCCCACTCAGCTGTGTCACTTGGGCTGGGGACTTGCTGCTGTGAGATGCGGATGGTACCAGTAAGGGGACCCCCGGAGCGAGTGCACAGGGGGACATGGGCCCCTCACGGAGAGGCCTCCTCAAACCTTGCCCACACTCACCTTCATGCATGCTGATGTGTGCACTGGCCACTCATGCCAGAGTTTTCTTAATTCTCCAATTCCTTTCTAAAAACTTGAACTGAGCCTGGCTGGCATGGCTCGGTGGTTGAGTGTTGAACCAGGAAGTCATGGTTCGATTCCTGGTCAGGGCACATGCCTGCATTGCAGGCTCGATCCCCAGTGTGGGGCATGCAGGAGGCAGCCGATCAATGATTCTTTCTCATCATTGATGTTTCTATCTCTCTCCCTTTCCCTTCCTCTCTGAAATATATATATTAAACTTGTATTGAGTGTAACATAGACAAGTGTTCAAATCATAAAGGAACTGTTTGATGAATTTTCACAAACTGAATGCACCCATGGCATCATTACCCAGATCAAGAAAGAACACTCCCAGCTCCCCAGAAGTCACCAGGAGCCCCCTTCAAGGCCCCTCCCTCAGCCCAGCCCACCCCACGAGGCTGTCCCAATCGCTCACCACTCACACGGAAGATGAGCCTGGTGTTCAGGGACAGATCCGTGCGCCCTCCGGTCTCTGCTCCCTTCACTAAACCGCACTGGTGAGAGGCACCGGGCTGATGCTCACTCTCACTGCCATGGCGAATCCCATCTACCCCACAATGTACCTACCCACCCACGGCTGTTGGACAGCACGTCAATGGTGTCCCCAGGAAACCTCACACAGGGGAAGTAAATGGGCTCCCTGAGTCCCTCCCATAAATGGAAAAGGCCAGCTCGCCCTTCTTCCAGGTCCCATTAGCATACAAAATACAAAACTTTGGTCCCTGTGCCCCTGGAGTCACTGTGGGCTCCCTCCCTCGGAGCTGTGAGCTGGCGCCTGTACGTTAGTGCTGTTCGTGCTCCGTACCCCTGCCCAGCCCCCCTGGCCGCAGCTTCTCTCAGCTGATGCCCTGGGCAGGCTGCTTAGGTGCTCAGAGCCTGTTTCCTGGTCGATGAAATGGTATTAGTGGTAGTTTCCTCCCAGGTCTGTGGGGAGGAGGAAGTGGGATACGACATGCAGAGTAGGGCGAAGCTCCTCAGTTCCTCACTGGCCACTGCCCAGGGTACAGCACTTGGCTGTTTACAGAAGCCTGTGCCATACTTGAACTAATTTACATGTTGCAGATGGGGAAACTGAGGCCCATGCAACCTCTTTTTTTGTTGTTGTTGTTAATCCTCACCTGAGGATATTTTTTTGCATTGATTTTTAGAGAGTGGGAGGGAAGGGGAGAGACAGAGAGAGAGAAACATCAATGTGAGAAACACATCAATTGGTTGCCTCCCGCACATGCCCCGAGGGTCTGGGATGGAGCCTGGAACCTAGGTACATGCCCTTGACTGGAATTGAACCCAAGACCCTTTAGTCCACGGACTGACACTCTAACCACTGAGCAAAACCAGCCAGGGCCCATGCAGCCTCTTGAACACTGCCTTGCTCACAGCAGCATGCCTCTCTAGGCTGGCCACTCCCCCTCCTGTCCAATCTTAGCCTCTGCATGTCCCTACCCAGCCCTAACCTGGGACCTCTGAGCAGCTCCAAGCTTAAGGGGACAGTCACCGAAGGCCCCAATGCCTGCTGGCCTTCCGGAGCTCAGCCGCTGGCCAGGGCGTCCTGCGGCCCCACTGCCTAGCCCGTCTCTTGCCCTAGGAGAAGCCGGAGCAGTCCCTGTCCGACAGCTACCCCGACCAGACCTCGTCCGTCTCCATGTTGGGCTGTAAGTCCCTGGTGTCCCTTCCAGTCCTGAGTGAGCCAGAGCAGCAGAGTGAGCAAAGGTCCGGGTCAGAGACTCCCTGGCCTGGGTGAGAACGCGGGCTCTGCTGCCTACAGCTGTGCGGCTACAGCAGGAGTATAACCCCAACTTTGCAGGGGGCATGCTGAGCCCTCGGGGAGGCGATGCCCGCACAGGCCTGGGAGCGGCCTTCACTATGGGCACTTCACAGTTGCTGCCTGCTCCAGCCCCACGCCCCCTCAGGCCCTTTCTCTCTCTGCCCTCTTGCCTCTCCCTAAAATAAGCTCCCATGTGCATGTCCAAAGGGCTTCCACCCCCGATTTGCCGAGCACCAGCATGGAAGGGACAAGATTCAAATACCCAGAAATGCCACTCCTAACAGAGTCCTGAGGGCAGGTGTGAGCAGTCCGGGGTCGGGATAGAAATAGCGGCGGCCAGCCCTGTCCTTCCATTTAGTGCAGTTCAACAAGCCATCGAGTCCCAGGGCTGGGCTTTGCCACACACTGGTCACAGGCATGAATAGCCCAGTCCCCGCCCCGGGAGCCCTTGGTCCTGAAGGGAAGAAGGCGCGCAGCTAGACGGATAACCAGGACAGTGTAGATGTGCACTGGAGGGCTGTGGGTGCACTTTGCCGCCTTTGGGGGACCAGTGGGGACTTCCAGGACCGGAAGGAGGGGTAGGGGAGGGTGGGGCAGGGCGAACTACAGGCTGTTGGTTGTGGCTGGAACGCAGAGGACAAGGAGCAGCCAGCACCATGGAAGCCAGAGATAGGCAAGTAGGACCCTCAGTATCTCCCCCTTATCTTACAGCCCTGGCCCACCTTCAAAGCGCAGGTTGCTGAGGAGGGCTGAGCTGGCAGGCCTTGCCCTTGGCCATGCAAGGCCTCTGGGATACAGGCAAGGGGGAGGCCTAAGAGCCTCCTTTTCCTGGAACTGCCTAGGAAGGCGGCCTGATGGGTGCTCTTGGCATGCTCTTCCCAGTCAGGACCCTGTCTGTCTCCGAGACAGAGACGTCCACTACCTGTCAGGAATACAGGAGCACCTCGGCCACCCCTGTGCCCCTCACCTCTGATTCCTCACTGCTGAGGACACAATCCTCAGACCTGGGAAACGACAGGGAAGACTCAAGCCTGAACCTCAGCCCCACAGACAGGGGCCAGAGCCAGCTGTTCAGGAAGACCGAGGTCACGAGGAGCCAGAGCCAGAAGCCAAGCAAGACGGAGGCCACCCAGGGCCCAAGGCAAAGGCCCACCAAGACCGAGGCCACCCAGGGCCCAAGGCAAAAGCCCAGCAAGACCGAGGCCACCCAGGGCCCAAGGCAAAAGCCCAGCAAGACCGAGGCCACCCAGGGCCCAAGGCAAAAGCCCAGCAAGACCGAGGCCACCCAGGGCCCAAGGCAAAGGCCCACCAAGACCGAGGCCACCCAGGGCCCAAGGCAAAAGCCCAGCAAGACCGAGGCCACCCAGGGCCCAAGGCAAAAGCCCAGCAAGACCGAGGCCACCCAGGGCCCAAGGCAAAGGCCCACCAAGACCGAGGCCACCCAGGGCCCAAGGCAAAAGCCCAGCAAGACCGAGGCCACTCAGGGCCCAAGGCAGAGGCTCAGAAAGACCAAGGTGGTTCACAGGCGGAGCCCCATCAAGGCTGAGGCCACCCGGGGCCGGACCCGGGGACTGATCCGAAGTTCCAGCAAGACCAAGAGTGACGATGACTCAAGCTGGAGCCCCAGCAACACGGAGGACGCCCAGGGCGAGAGCCAGTGGCTCGTCATGGCCAAGGTGCTCGAGAACTGGAACCAGAGCCCAAGCCCAGAATCCAGCAAGACTGATGTCATCCAGGACCAGGGCCTTGGCAGTGTCACTGCTCCCTGAAGGGGCCACCGAGCCCCTCACTTCTTGCTGGAGATGGGAGATACCCTACCACGTTGGCATTCAGCAATTAACCTCAGCCAACACTGCTCTGGTCCCATGGCTAAGTTTATTGTATTTGTTCTCTTCTTTTACAAAATTAAAAACATTAAAAACCAGGCCCAAGTGGCAGCTTGAGTCCCTTCATCCTTGGGGACTGAGAAGTCTCAGCCTGGCTTACAATACTGGGACAGGGTGTGGGATATGGTAGCAGGGCAAGGGGCTAAGGGGAAAAGGCTGAGGAGGGAGGGAGCAGCCAGGAGCCACAGTCCCTGAGTTACAATTCACATTTAAGAAGGCTCAGGCTGCAGGGTGAGGTCAAGACTCATTGAGGTTCTGGGGTGACCAGCACTTTCCCCCGGGGCAGGAAGCAAAGGCCACGATGTCCTCAGACCAGCTAAGAGGCCCCCTGACCCTCTGTCTCATGGCCTAGCCAACACTTCTCCTCATCTTCAATTTGTGCTCTAGGTCCCACTCTCCAGGAGGTCAGGACAAGGGTCCCTCTGGCAAAGGCCCCAGGGCTTTCCTGCATGGCCTGGCCAGGTGGGGAGGACAAGGATGCCAGAGAATCAGAGGAAGAAGGCAATTCGGGAAGCCACAGTCTTGCAGCCATTGGAGGAAAAGAGCTGCTCGTCCTCAGGGAAGAAGACGGTGCTGTCCAGCACAGCCTGGATAACCTCGTCCCTTGGCTCCAGGCCCAGCTGGGCCAGCTCGTTGAGCACGCAGTGCCGCACATGGTGCCGCTGGAGCGGTAGGAAGGGCACCAGGGCATCCAGGAGATGCTCTTCCATGATGCCCGAGCGCCAGAAGCCGTCTGCCGGAAGGGATGATAGGGAAAAGCAGCTGAGCTTCACAGAGCTGGGTTTCTACCCCACAAAGGCCAGTGTAGGTACACTGTTCTCAGCCACCTTCCGGGCGAAGGGCTCAGGCAGGTTCTGGGACAGCCAGGAGCACAGAGCCTGGGCTGGGAAGTCCTGGGTCAGTGGGCAGAGCATCAGATCCCAGCCCGATGGACCTGGGTGTGACGCCATCCCAGGGTGGGGCTCCTGAGCACTCACGGTGGGGGTTGTCCAGCACCGCCTGGGCAATGACTGGCTCGAGCTCCTGCAGGCAGATCTCCTCGCGGTCCCGGCGGCTGCGCCATGCCTCCAGTACCACCTGGTTGATCTGCTCACCACCAGTGTTGCTAAAACCAGGGGGACCCGGGCCGAGACTCAGACAGTGGATTTGGCCCTGCTTCCCACATGCCACCTAACACAACCGGAGCCTGGGGGCCCAGCTCAGTGCCAGCAGGAGCCAAACCCACCAACACATTCCACAGGAACCACTTCCCCTTTCCAGAGCGAGTCCACAACCATGACCCCTAGAAATTCACCTGTAAATGCCATGCACTTTACAGTTTACAAAACACTTTTAAGTCCCGTAAGCTGACTTCCCCTCACCCAGCTTCTAGGACAGTGGGGCATTCATTTGGCCCTGCTGTTCAGAGAGGAGATGGGAGCTCAGAGAGGTGAAGTAATTTCCCTGAGGAAACATAGCAAGGACTCTTGGAGGTGATACTAGAACCCCAGTCTGTTTCTCCCGGGCCCGTGTCCTCCTGGCCACAAAAGAGGGAAAACTCTTGAGCTAGCAGCAGGGCTTCCACAAAGAAATGAGGACCAGAAAGCCTGAGCCTAGAATGGGCTTCGAGACTGTCAAAGGGGAAGCCAGCCACCTTGAATGACACCATCAGGAGGGTGAGGGGCTTTGGGAAAGTTTGATGGGGCCCTGGGGGACGGTATTCTGCTGGGGGACCACAGACCAAGGATAGCTGAGGCCTCTAAGTATCCCCGTCACAGCGGCACCCACCTGATGAAGATGAAGATGGCTTTGCGATAGTTGGTCCCATACACAACCCAGGAGGAGCCCAGGAAAGGTTGTAGGACCTCCATCAGGCCTGGGGTCAGCTTGTCCATCTCATCAAAGAGGAAGAGGGAGCGGCCACAAACCGTGAGGTTCCCCTGGACCCAGCTCTTCAGGTCCTTCTGCAGGAGAGAGGCAGGAGTTTGAGGGGGACTGGAGACACTCCCCCAGCCCCAGACTTCTTCCCAAGCAAGAATTAATCCCCTTCCCTGGAAGACATGGGCTCACAGCGAGCACCATCCCTTCATGGGACTGATGGCAAAACTGTGGCCCTGAGAGGGGCAGATACTTGTCCAAGTTCAAACACAGGTGAGCAGGAGAACAGGGACTCAAACCCAGGCCCGGCACCTGCCTTCAGGGCTCCTTCCCTGACACCTGCTGCTTTCTATAAAAGGGGAAGGCTCCTTCCTGCCCCGTGAACTTTCTCAGCAGTTTCATTTTATGTTTTGTTGGGTGTTTTTTTTTTTCTTTTCTTATTTTTAAATATATTTTTATTGATTTCAGAGAGGAAGGAAGAGGGAGAGAGAGATAGAAACATCCATGATGAGAGGGAATCATGGGTTGCTGCCTCCTGCAAGTCCCCCACTGGGAATCGAGCCCGAAACCCCGGCATGTGCCCTTGACCGGAATAGAACCTGGGACCTTTCAGTTCGCAGGCCCACGCTCTATCCACTGAGCCAAACCGGCTAGGGCAATGTTTTGTTGGTTTTTTAAAATTGATTTTAGAGAGAGAGGAAGGGAGAGGGAAAGAGAGAGAGAAACATTGATTGGCTGCCTCCTGCACGACCCCTACTGGGGATCAAACCGCATAAGGCGTGTGCCATGTCAGGGAATTTAACCAGTGACTTTTTGGTGCAAGGGAGGAGTTCAACCAACTAAGCCACACCAGACAGGGCTCCCGGCAGTTGTGATAGTTAGTTCAGCCTGGAAAGTGCCTTGCCATCAACAACAACAACAACAGTAGTAGTAAAAATAATAATAATAGTAGCAATAACAGCTTGCAGTTACTAAGTACTTACTCGGAGCCTCAAGTTGGGGCTAAGTGCTTTTCAGAGAGAAGATAATGCAGACTGGCAAAGGTAAGTGCTCAATAATTAATACCTGTAATTCTATAATCTCATGTTCTTCAGAACAACCCTGGCAAGTAGACACCATTAATGCCTCACCCCCAAGAATTAAAGCGAGAACTCCCTGCCAGGTAGAATGGCATCGTCCCGAGCTCTGTTCGGGGTGGGTCCTGAGGGCTGGCTCCCACCGACTGTGTGGCCTACAGCAAGTGAACCCCCCTCTCTGGGCGTAGGGCTCCCTCCCTCCCTAGGGCATGGCATCCCTGATGCAGGGGGATGATGGTCCGGGATGCAACCAGCCTACCTTGTAGCGCTCCATGTGGCTGGGATGGGGGAAGTGGATGACAGGGGAAAAGTGGTGCACATAGGGGCTGCGGAGGCCACCCCGGAAGAGGTAGTGCGCCAGCAGGGAGCTGACATAGGACTTGCCAGTGCCTGTCCAGCCGTGCAGGGAGAGGACCAGCGGCTTAGTGGGGGCCGGGTCCTGCACGAAGGCCTTCAGCGCCTTCACCACCAGCGCCTTGGCCAGGTGCTGGCCTGCCAGGTGCTGGGCCAGGTCACACTCCAGACCTAGGGCCACAAGAAGGACAGCGTCAGAGTTGAGGACACGCTCCCGCCGGAAGAGGTTCAAGGGGGAAGTGATGTCTGGAACCGGGTCTAGAGATCCCTATGGCCCAGGACGCTTTCACAAGGGATGGCCCGCTGCAGGAGTCACCCTCCGGCCTAATTCAGCTTGGCAGCGCCCCCTCCAGGCCTCCCTCTGAATTGCGTTCAGCCCTAAGTGGGTGCCAGCCGTCAACAGGGTCTCTGCCCCAGACCCCTCTGCCTATTCCCAAGGTCAGCCTCTCCCTTGGCGGCCATTCCCCTGGGGAGGCCTAGCCCTGCCCCGCGGCCCCGCTGTCAAAGGCCTCTCTCCATCCTGGCAGGGCTCTGCCTGGACCCAGACAAGCATCCCCTAACCTTGGCCCCAGGTCCCGAACCCCAGGCTCTCCACACAGGACCCACTTCCGGCCCGGCCGTCCAGGAGTCTGGGGTCCTTCCGCCCCTCGGTTCCACCCTCAGGTCCAGTCCCGGAGTCCGTGGGGTCTCCGGTCGGCCCGCCCCTCCACTCTTCCGCTCCTCACCCTGGAAGTCGGGCTGGAAGTCACATTCGCAGAAGGTGCCGAAGCTGCAGCGCAATGAAGTCAAGTCCCAGGCGGCGGCCGCGACCGAGACCGAAACCAGCCCGAGCAGCCCGAGGAGGCGCGAGCCCCACGGCCGGCGGCCACGCGTCTCAGCCGCCATCCGGGTGAGGCCCGAGCTAGGTCTGGGGCCGCCAACCGCCTCTCCCGAGAACTACAGCTCCCGGCGTGCATCGCTCCGCAGCAGCCACCTCCGTTGGCCTACAACTCCCGGCGCCCCTCTCGCCCCTCTCAAAGGCCCGCCCAGTCGTCCCGCTGCAGGACCGGAAGGTGGCCTCCAGGGGGAGCCCGCGAGCTGTCCAATTCGGGATGGAGGGCCGCGTTTCCATAACCATGGTAACTAGGGGACCATAGCAGTAGTTCCAAAAAAATAATAAGGAATTATGACCACAAGGGTAATGTAACAATTGTAGTGAAAACTTGTGTGGCACCTTACACCTTGTAAAGCGCCTTTTTCATGCTTTTTAAAAAATATGTTTTTATTGATTGCAGAAAGAAGGGGAGAGGGAGAGATAGAAACATCAACGATGAGAGAGAATTATTGATCAGCTGCCTCCTGCAAACCCCACACTGGGGATCCAGCCCACAACCTGGGAATCAAACTGTCACCTCTTGGTTCATAGGCCACTGAACCACTACAGCTGGGCCTTTCATGTTTAAGAATACTAATAGCTTTTGGTGAGCACCTACTGTGTGCCGTTAGTATTAGGTGCCTTATATATCCTATGTGATAACAGTACCTGTCATACAGAAAAATGGTGATATTTCAATGAGGTACAGGCACATAAAGTGTTTTGGATTAAAGTAATCAATAAATGATCATTGACAATCCATCATGCATAAAACATAGTGGTTCCTTACCTAGCAACTACTATGCGCTAACTGCTTCAACACCAATCCTAAGAGATTGATTCTGTTATCGTCCCCATTTTATTGAGGTAGAAATGGGAACCCGAGAGGTTAAGCCTGATGTCCATGGTTACTCAGCTAGTAAACAACAGAACTGAACCCAAGTCTGGCTGCCGCCAAAGACCTAATGCACTGTGTGACCCAGCCTCTCTGTCAAGGGATTCAGAACAGAAAGGACCCCATGTTTCACACTCAGTGAATGGGCTCCCCAGACTTCCATCCTGGCAGGGCTCTGCCTGGTCCACATGGTCTACCCTACCCCTCCCACCTATAGAATCAAGACAACCGTGTTCATGTCCCTTTTCAAAGATTATCTACCCCACTCCACACACACACACACACACACACACACACACACACACACACACCACTTCTGAGGCCACGTTTCAAAGCCTGAAGGTGAGTGGTTCCTGTTATTGAGGAGAGAAAACAACTCCAGTCAGGACACCCAAGTTCCAGCCTCCCTCATTCTGCTGCTGTGACCCAGGTCACAGTTCTCGGGTTCCCAGAGAGGTAGATTCCTAGATTTCAAAAAGCCCTTCCATCCCACACATCTGGAATCCCTCCTGGTGCATTTGGGGAACCTTTGCTATGGCTTCCCGGGGGCAGGGAGTGGAGGAGGAGGGGGGCAGGTAGGAATTTCCCCCACTGGTTGAAATCGGCTGTTTATCTCCCCCACTGGCTGTGATCTCCTCCAGGCAGGGACTGGGGTTCAGCATTAGCAGTAACTCTGGCTCCTGGTACAATCTGGAATGTCCCAGGTGCTAAATAAATATTTGTGAAATGGATTTTTTTCCCCCTTTCGCCTGAGAAAAGATGCTTCCTTCCACCTCAGGGCCTCCTGAGAGACAGAAAAAAGAGACATAAAAGTTTATTATATGAAAGAAAGAGCATGGCTTCTGTACATCTATTTACAGAACGGAGACTTATTTACAGCCAGATGGAGGCCTTGGTGTCGGTGGGGAGCAGATGCCTGGAGGAGAGAGAGGAGGCGTGAGGAGCCTCCCATGGCTCAAACACAGGGCACCTCAGCAGGACAGGGAGAGGCAGAGCTGGAGGGAGGAACAGGGATCTTGGTTCTTCCTGAAGGGAGACGTGGTGAGCATGTAGCAGGTGGGACGGAGCCCAGAATCCACGCAGAACCCCGGGGGCGCAAGGGAGATCCTGGCGTGGAGTCCGGTACATTCTTGGGCTGGTCACAGTGTCCCTGGGGTGCTCTGGAGAAAGGTCTGTGCCCCTCTGTCCCGGATGCTGCCCGCAGCTGCAGAGGGGAAGGGTCCACGGGGGTCACAGCTCGCTGGAGCGGACAGCAGGCTCCAGTTTGTGGGACAGGGCGGTGAGAACCTTGTCAAACTTCTCATAGCGCCGGGCCTGGCTGCTGCTGGCGCCCTGACTGCCCCAGAGGAGGCGCATCTGGAACTCGGTGCTGAACACCTCCAGGAGCTCGGGCTGGGCCTGAAACCCTGCAGGGCGGGGCACAGGGGTTAGGGGACACCACCCAGCTAGGGAGGCGGGGGCTCTCGCAGGAGCCACCACATCCCTCAGGGCCCCCTCCAAGGGACACCTCCCGCAGCTCTGCCAGGGATTCAGCAAGGCTTATTGATGGACATGGCCTCACAGTTTAGTACCTAGTCTTTGCCCTACTATTTACAACATATAATTTTAAAATGACTGGAAGATAAAATATTAATGTTAATGGGGGGGGGGGGGGCTTGAGTGCCTTTTCTTTTCCTTTTTGGGTTTTTCTGCAAATTCCAAATTTTTTCCCAAAAAAATATATACGTTTTGGAAGTCAGGGCAAAAAACGAGGTTTTGGGGGGTGTTTTTTTCTTTTCGGAAAAAAAAAAGGCAAAACTGCCCCGGAATGCTCCCGCATCACCTCTGGGAATTGTAGGGACTTTTTTAGGTGGG